CAAGTGAGTGGTGGAACAGATACTTACCCACTGATAACTACCTTTTGTCGAGCATTTCAGCCTCAGGATCCTAGAACCAGAGCCTGAACATAGCTATATTAGACATTGCATGGTTTTATTAGTATTGTTTACCTTCTTCCACCTCTCCAGGGTCTTTATTATGTCCCCAGTCTCATTGCTAGTTGTGAGAATGACACTCGGGAACCATTAGAAGCTCTGCTCCCAGGGCCATGCACTCCAGCAACCTGTTTGTAGCAGAGGCCACGCCAGCTGCTTCTGCAGGGAGGTGAGAAGGTGTGACACTCACTTCTGGCAAGATACTTCACTCCTGAGGTAACCTTTGCAGCGCAGAGGCCCCAGACCATGGAAAGTATGTAGGACATTCAAACCAACACCCAGCTCAAACATTAAACAAGGCTGTTAAAATGCAGGGTGTAAACAGGAGCGCAGGAGCACGCAGATGTGTTCATACCTGAAGTGAAGCTCAAGTAACAGGGAATAAATGAAGTTTCACACTTCTCCTGCAGCTCCGGAATGCTCTTGGAGGATGTTTGTAAGTACAGACTCCAGCTGTGAAGCCTTTGAAAAGGAGATGTGGTTAAACGAGTTAATCATACTTTTTCTTATCAGATTAATTTAAACCAATTGCAGAAACTTTTCAGTTACCAAAGGTGCTTCAAAGCATTTCTGGTACAAGCAGGTAAATACAAGAAAATAACTGAAATACTTGTGATACTTAAAAGGAAAAAGACCAGGAGATAATGATACTCAGAAATGAAAGCGAATACCTGCCTTTGTGTGGTACATGACAATAGAAAAGAAAATAACTGCTCAGCCAATTTACTGAGACGCTCTGCTCCAGCCAGCCCCCCTCAAAGGTAACAGTTTCTATATTAGTTTTCTATATTAAATGTCTCTGCCAGTTGATTTTTCTAACTGTGCCATAACAAGTCTGCTTCCAGCTAAGCTAAGCGAAGGTGGACTTTTGAAAAGCTGAAATAGCTCAAAAGCACTTGGGCTAATCACCTGAAACTTGGCACTGGCCAACACAATGCTGTCCTTGGTGATCACAGGCCAGGGAAGGCTCTCAGCCCGGCCAAAGCCTCTTTGTTGTGCTCAGGGGACAGGGAAGGAGAGTCAGTCTCCATCCAAGGACCAGCACTGGCTGGTACAGAGACTGCAAACTGACACTTATTAGTGTCTGGCCAAACTCAGAATTGCAAATTAATCCCTGAAAGTGACTACGAATCTGAGCAGGTGCTTTGAATTGGCCCATTTTGTTCAGCAGAGAAAGAGGGGATCATAAAGTCACACTAAGGATTTCTCCAGCTGCACTCTTGCATCCCAGGCCGAGCCCCACATGGTCCAGGCAGGTGCACCATTAAGATACACCATAAGGTGTATCTAATAATGGAAAATTATCACAGTCCACTTACAGCTCAAGGCCAGATTCTTTGAGCCCAGATTGTCATCAAGAAATTTGCTGATTTAGCCCCATTTCACTTCTAGCAATATTAGGTAAGCCATAAATAAGCTTCATCCAACAGTGGTGGAAAAACGTAGCCTCAAAAACAGCTCCTTGCTGAAAATTGTGCCTCAGAAACGGATCTGGAGCAAAGACCTCAGACAGGTGGCTTCTCAGACGTGGGCAAATTCAGCTCTAGGCACAGCTGCATCTGGGAATGCACTAATCATGCCATTTGCATTTCTGCAATCCCACCTGCCTGGGAAAAAGGTGTAGCTGTTTCTGGCAGTCTCTTCGTTGGGGGGGAGGGCAGCTCGTGGAGCTGCTGGGTCACAATGGCAATGCAGTTTTCCTAGACAGTCAAATTTATACTGAAGAAATATATTTACTACCCCTTTTCTTTTGAATTCTCTGAGGCTGGAGTATTAAACAGGCCCCGAGAGCAGCGCCCGAGAGAAGGACCAGCTGAAGCTGCTTGCCCAGCTGTTATCCCTGGGGAGCAGGGACTTGTGTAGATGTCCTGGCCAGGAGCTGCAGGTAGGACAGTGCTGTGCTGGCAGCACCTGGAGTTTGTGCTGCTGGGCTGGGGCAGGGGTGCTACCACGGAGTGGTGCTGTGACAGAGGACATCAGGGAGCTGGGTGCTGCCTTTATGAAGGAGCAGTAACTGGGCAGGAGTAGCACACAAACACATTCCTGTGGCCTGGCACGTGGGGACGGGTTACACCATCGGGGTCGTAATTAAATCAAATAGCAGACGACCCAGGGATGGTTCCCTCTCCTCTCCCTCCCACGCTGGAGAGCTGATGTTTCCCCTTTCAGCCACAGGAGCACTATTTGAGGCAGCACTGAGGCAGCGCTCAGTTTTTACCTGTTTAGCTTTTTCCTCTGCTGCTCCTCTGGCAGCCTCCGTCCGCTCACTGGGGGCAGATCAGGAGAACCCCAACGTTCAGCTCCAGCAGAGACTGACACGGGCACCAGCAAAACCACTGGGATGCAGGGAGGATGCAGAGAGCACATTCTATCCAAAGCCCGGGCAGAAGGGCTGCTCTTCTAACTTGGTTTGGCAAGTAACTAGGAAACATCTCGTTTTGTCAACTAACACTTGCCCCCAACCCAGGTGTTCTTCCAAACTCACCTCTTAGCGACACAGGTCACAGGATGGTCACCCATCACCACGGAGCGAGGAGCAGAGTCAAGGTGACACCTATTCAAAGGGCCAAGCGACAAGAAATACCAACCTCCTTTCAACCAGGTGGAACCCAAGCCTGGAGCGTGGCTGTGGGCAAATGACATCCATCCCTGCCCCACGCCGCGGTGGGGAGGAGATGAAAGCTGAGGGGTCTCTAGTGATTTACCAGCTTTCACTTCAAAGATCGGCTGTACCCATCACTTAGATCGCAAGCAACAGTTGGTTCTTGCTGAAACACCAGAGGTTCACCCCTTGGTATGTTCCTTTAAGGGTGGTATTACGGGTTCAGTGGTTTTGCCCACCACTTCTTCTGAAGTGTCCCACCCCACAAAGGTGCCTCCAGCCCCAGCGCTCCTCCAGGGTCCTGCAGCACATCCCAGGGAGGGGACACCTCCCAGCCAAGGGGACACAGGACAAAGCAGCCATACAGCGAGACTCAACAGCTGCGGGGGGGGGCCTTTTGGGTGCAAACAATATTCAATTTTTTTGGCAACAACTATTTACTGCCAGGCTTTTAAGTTAAATGCAGTCTCCATAATCAATAAGATATAAAACGTGGAAGACCCGGCAAGTGGCACAGAATCACAGAGTCTTCATGGTTGGAAGGGACCTTTGAGGCCATCGAGTCCAACCGCAAAAAAACCCCACAACAAAACCAAAGCTCCACAGACACAGCCCAACAGTCTCTAGAGCATCCCCTGAAGGGCCATGTTCTTAAATACCTCCGGGGATGGTGACTCCACCACCTCCCTGGGCAGCCCCTTCCAGTGCGTCGGTGCCAGGTGAGGCTTTTGGGAGCGGCGCAAAGTCCCTGCAAAACGTTTCCATCTGTGGCCTCTCCTCTACCAGATGGAGTTTGACTGAGCCCGCTCTGAGTGTGTGAGAGTTGAAGTATGTAGTACTTAAACTCCCCCCAAAGATCTTTCCAACACAGCTGCCTGGCGCGGGGACTTCTTATTCCAAGTTCCAATTTTCATACATTTTTTTTCCATTATGTGACTGCAGCCCAGCCCACGTCTGACTCTTGCTGCTCACCATTTTACAGATGTCTCCTTATAATGTCAGAGCTCAACAATCATTAGGGGGATGAAACAGGAAGGAAAACGTTTCCAAAAATAACCAGAACAAGGGAGTGAATGAGCAGCGTCCTCCACTAATTCATCCTGCTGGCAGGAAACTTTTGGGAATTGTGTGTTGAATCACAACATGGAACCAACACAATTTTCACCCATTTTAATCCTCGGTGAACTATGCCAAGGAAATACCCATAAAAAGTGGTGACTGGTGGATACTCACGTACTTCACCTCACTGGAACAGTCATAAGAGGCTCTCGTGGAAGCACCACAGCCATGGGCAGCAGAAATCCATCACGTGTAGCCACAATGCACTAAAATCCCCAATTCTGGCTAGGAAATATCCAAGCCCAGGTCACAGACCCTCTCCTACCCCTGCAGGGATTTCACCTTCCCCCTCAGTTTGGTATTTTTATTTATGCTGTTGCTCACCAGGGTTGTGCATCGTTAACTGGGGACAGGGAAAATAAGAGGGATCCCAAATTACTGACTTGGATATATTTGGATTTTACATTGCTCAGTTATGTGTGAGCACATGTTAAAAACAAACAAACAAACCACAACAAAACCCAAAACATGGAAAAAACTTGGAAAAAGGTGCCGCTTCATTCCAGTATAGTTTTAAAAAATACACAGCAGCTATGTTACAAATGGACATTTTAAAAACAGATAAAAAAGAGCTGGTCTTTGGCCTTTTTGTTGTTGGTTGGGCTTTTTTCCTATTCATTTCACTCCTACCTACTGCTCCCGCAATGGTTGTTCTATTAAACTTGGCTACTTCCACCAAAACCTCTCAGCGTTCCCGGCAGAAGCCAAGAACAGAGGACCCTTCCCCGGGGATCATCGTGGCCAGCAGAAAAGGAGGTGGCAGAAAGAGCCCCTCTGCACAATGGGAGCTACTGGAACAAAGGGGTGGTTCCACAGAAGACGTTTGACTCCATGGACATTTATATTCTATGTCTTCTTCAATATACATGTGCTGGAAATTTCTAGAAAACCAGGAATTCCTAACTCCTGCTCTGGCAAAACCACCCTCCTACAATGAGCCTTCATTTTTATCCATTATCCAACTGGGATTTAAAGCAAAACAAAGCAACAAGATAAATACTTGCCTGTTGTTCCTGTGGCCAAGATGTGGGTGGAAGGGGCTGTCCGTGCTCACCTCTGAGCCCAGCTGTGGGATGGCCAGGAGAAGCCACACAAACGCCATTTTGGATAAACGGCAGCTCACAGACTTCCCATTTAAGCACAAAGCAATTAATAATCCAAATCACACAAGAAAAAGGTTTATTGAAAAATAAAGTTCTCCCTAGTTTTTTTTCTACAACAGTGAAAACAAAGCATTTTTCTATGCCATTAAAAGTACAGACATTTACTCTTCTAAAAAAAAAAAATTAAAAAAAAAAAAAAGCCATCCTATTGAACCCCAGTAACTTGACAGTATCTGAACCACTGTGTTCTGTTCTTTCTGAATCAAACTGCTTGAACGTAATATAGTGGAACACAACCATTGAAATAAAACAAAGGATCAACCTTTCAGGAGAGCGTTCAAACCAAGCACCAGAGTACCAGCCTGACCCTGAAGTTCTTCTATCCATATAAAAAACTCTCATTGACTCCAATTATCTGCAAAAAGCAGCAATCTTTCACTTTTTACAGATTTCAGTAGGTTTTGTTTCCATTTACGGTGCAATCTGATTTTAACCCCCTTCCCCCATGGAGACAGAGTCTCCTCCAGGGAATGACTGACCAAAAGGCAAAGAGCTGCCCCAAATTTCCCTCTGGAGGATGTCCCCACAGCGCTCAGCCTTGCAAGCTCAAGGATATCAACGTCTCCAAGCTCCAACTAGCTTTGTAAATATTCCTTTCTATTTTTCTTTTAGAATCTTCAGGGTAACTTCTCTCTTCTCGTAAGATTTACTCTTTTTTTTTCCTCTGGTAAAAACTGCCATCTCCTCCTCCTCCTCCTCCTCTGCTGTATTCCTTTATGAAAACCAAATAAACCCATGACTTCTTAAAAACGGTTTTCACCGCCGCTGTACTGCAACCGACCTGTTAACGAAGGTAACAAATTAGTTCTGGGTATAACCCTCTGGGTATAAGCCCTGGCACACGGTGACAAGCTCTGTTCTCCTGCACAGCCCACCCGAGACAGAGGGGATGGCACCTGCCCCGCTCTCCCCAGCAGAGAGGGGGGTTCTTTCACTCCATCACACCCCAATCTTTACAAAGCAGTTTGTGGGTGCGGAAGGAGGAGCGATCGCTCCTTTCATCAAATCTTTGAGGACCCGATTTTGGTTACCCATCGGATAAAGAGGTGGCTTAGGGCTGTTGAGAGCACTCTGCTAATTAAAACGTACTATTGTATCCTCAGAATTCCATGAATATGCAAAAGATGACACCAATAAAAGCCAGACACGGGGGCAACGGCTGCACTTGGGTGGTTTTCCCTGTGAGAAAGAACACGAACGAGCCTCACACCTGAGGCAGCCTGGGGTTCAGCCTCTGCTCGCTTCTACACACTCCTACAGTAAACATTTTACACTTGATACACGGAGTTTGCTCTTTACACGTTCCATTTAAATATAATATTTGGAAATTACAACCTAATTTAAAAAAACCCAACCCTATAGAGCTGCTAAAAAATACGCAGACGAGATTTAAGTCAGTGCCCGTAAAACAACCTGTTCTGAAGTTACATTTACAGCAAGATTACGAAAGCGTTATCTCCAGGAAACCATCTCTATCCCAGCCTCAACTAAAACCTCCACCTGTCAGTGCATCATTCTCCTCCACTTTAGGGCCATCCCCAAACCTGTGGGACCGAAGGAGAACGACAGATGGAAAGAGCTGATGAGTCCAAAGTCAAAGGCAGAGCCACCGTAGGACAAACATCCCCGAGGAGCAGCTGTGCCAAAATGGTACCACCCCTGGAAAAGGCTGCCAAATTGGAAACTGGTAACTAATAGTCGCCTGAAAAACCCCCAAACAAACAGCAAAACAACAATCACCCGCCCCTCCAACCTCCAACTGTAGACTGAACAGCTATTTAACCAACTTGTCAACTGATATTTTAATAATTAGTAACTTAGAGACAATAACACGCCATCACAGCACGCGAAAGTGGGCGCTTGGTCTCTCTCTGTAAGATACAGTGCTTTATCATTATTAAAAAGGGAGAGCTGCTTTTTTTAATTTGAAGAAAAATTACTGGAGGAGTTCTGCTACCACTGAAGCCAGTGGGAGTCGTGAAATTAATTAGAGTTGGATGAGATTGTATCCAGCCTGATCCAGCCCATTTAATTTATTTTACTAGCAAAATCTGGTCCCGAAATGCACGATGAGCAAAATACATACCTGAGAAAGCAATCGGGGGTTTGTTTACACGAGAAGTGCTGCAAACTCCTAAATCACACTGTAATTTAGCTGGGCCACTCATTTTTGTGAGGGGAGGACACGTCTGTCTTATCAAGGATACACCCAAGGACCTTGTGTAGGATTTTAAAGGACAGTAGCACAACATGATTCAGTGAGGAGAGAAGCCATCAGGTAACAACCCCGTTTCTCCTGGATTTATCACAGAACCTTTCAGCTGAATATCCAGAGTTCTCTCCCCACTGCAAGTCATAAATTTAGGTATCATCAAAGGACTCTCTTCTCCTGGGAGCCCCAGGAATCACCCCCTGTGCTTTCACATGCAGAGGGCTTTATCCGAAACCCCGACACCTGACAGACTTTAATGTGCATCTTCAATTTCCCTGCTGCTCAAATCGGATTCGGCTCTTTCTAGAGGTTTTCTGTTGGCTCCTTGGGGAATGGAAGGGCTTTAATTTGCTCTTTGGTCATCAAAGAGACATCCCATCCCAGCAGGAGCTCCCACGTCAAATTACAGATATTCAATAAAGGGCGTTCTGCTCGCAGAAGCAACGGTTTGCAAGAATTATTAAAGTTAGAATATCTCTTATCTTATGAACCCTTACCTTATAGTTTTAGAACAGATTTTTCCACTACTTAAAAACATTCAAAATTCACACCGTTAAGTTGTAGAGTCATCAAGTGTTATTTTTACCTGCAATTAGTGTTCCATTATACTTGTTCAGACAGTGCCCGTATCCCAAACACTCATCCAAACCCCAAAGAAAGTAAAAAAAGGCACATAAACATTAAATATCTGCAGGAGAAACATAATCTGATATAAACAAGCAAACACACAGCTGCAACTATAAATTACAAAAAGGAAACATAGAAACTAAGCAAAAAATGCAAAAAGCAACTCTATTTATACATGTGCAAATCAACTTGCATATATGAAATAAATGAGGTTTTTATTGGCATTTTTAAACAGTGTGTATTTACCAACTTTACCTTTCAAAGGCAAGCCTTTTATGTTAATTTTAATAAATATGTAAATGCTTCTCTCAAGTTTTCTAATCTCGTAGGAACAAGATTTTTGAAAAAAACTAGGTCACATACAAAAATACAAAATTTTAAAACAAAGAATGTCTTGATATGAGAGATATGTTTAAAAGCTTGTAAAATGTTTTTATATTCAACTTTTGACAATTTTTTTTTTCCCCATCAATCGCCGATCAATATATTCAAACGCAAGTCATGCAAAAACCTGATTTGTGAGCACAGGAAGCTGCAAGCTTTGCTGTCAGACTGGAAACCAGTAGCACAGTCCCATCTCCCATCCCCTCCTCTAAGTGCAAGAACTGGACTCCACCTCTGGCCTTTAATTAGGAAGGAAAACAGTTACGGAACTTGGACAGAAGCTGCTCTCTATCCTGAAATGTGGAGATATAGATATCTATATATATTATATGTTTTAGTAAATGGTTCAAACTGTGAAATAGCCCCACTTGGATTTGCCTGAGTGCTTTATCTGCGGAAGGATTTGTGTATTTGTGACGGCACAAACGAACTGCTGCGCGACGGGGAGAGCTGGGGGGGTGAGAAATGGTTACGGGGTTTATGCACTCACAGGTCTCTCACGATAGTCCCCTTTGACAGACATTTAGACCAAAGCCCTATCTCATAAAAGCAGTATTTCTTCTGCAAAGAGAGTTTAAAATTAATACTAAAGGCCTAACAAATTATAGGTCTCGATTCTTTTTTTTTTCTTTTAAGATTAATGAGCCTTCTCTCTAGATTTCAGTGGAAACAGATTCAGAGGCCAATCTGGATGTTCTGTTTCTTGCTGAAATGCAGGCGGTCGGTGTTTGCTGTTTCGTTTTGGCCAGTCTGCAGTAAATCAGTTCAGTGGGCTAGAAAGAACCAGCACCAAAAACCCAGAGCTCCTTCCAGACTCTCCCTGCTGTGGTAAAGGCAAACTTAGCGTCCAGCAAAGCACTAGACCAGAAAATCTTCTGTTACCAAATACCCAAACCCTCACATCTTGAAAGGTTTAGAGGGAAAAGGAAAAGCAGTGTGCCATGTGGGTCGTACAGTGAGGGGGAAACAAGCAAATCTGTATTTACAGCAAAGAATTCTACTACAGCGAAAAACGACGTGTTTTGCATTCTTTAAGTGCACACACACAAATCTCTGTTTCTGACGTAATTCCGTGATATCTCATTCCAAACTAATTTCCTGCCTGAAGAACCTCAGGCTGAACAGGCAAAGGCAAATTCTGCTTTTGCCTCTACTTTCAGCCCCAGGGATTAGCGTATATATATCTACATTTTATGATGCAGGGTTTTCCAGTCACACAAATATGCACAAGTATGCGGGGAGTACTTTATATAAATACAAAAATGAATCGTTGCTCCTGCTCAGACCCGTTTCCAATCCTCCTCCCCCAGCTCTTCAGGGCAGTAAAGCTCCTGCCCACTGCCTCCGTGCTGACTGAAGCAGACGCCGAGCTGTGGTGACACTAAGGATTTTCATACTAGTTTCTGCTTGTTTTCTTTTCATACCAACAGTTTGCCTCCCGTTACAGAACCCAGCTGTTCCTTTTCTGGACAGTTACTCTAAAATACAGCAATTTTATCATCGTGACAGCCCAGTTACTGGTGATGCTGCTGCTCAACAGCTCCCACTTAATCCTTTTTGGGTCCTCAACCCTCTCTGGGGCTGAAGTTCCCGCGTGGCCCACAGTGACCTCAGGAAAGGGCTCAGGAGTGCCGAGGCAGGAAACAAAAAACTTGAAAAAGCCAATTCCTTGCTTTTAAATTGAAACTTTAAATGTATCCCATTCCGTTCTCTTCTCTTGAGAACTGATCCAAGATTAAACAGCATTTCCTTTGCTTGGTCTTTGGTAGGTGAAGGGATCTGTCCCTATTCACACACAGCTAATGAATGCCCGTTACAACCAAAATCTGAACCAACCAGATACAGCCATGAAAGGAAAAGTTAAAATACCTACGCTTTTCGCTATTACCTGGTTAATTTTATGGAAAAAAATCTGTTGATTTTAGGTTTTTTTCCCAGTCTGATCAGAACGTGGCCAGTTGTGAACCTGCAGACTGGGACTGCCTCCATAGCACCCTCAGACCTGTTCCTCACTGCCCTTAGCAGAGCATTTGCTGAGTCCAGATGGGGCTGTCAAGCACCCCACCTTCTGCCCAAAACCACAAAAATGACCTCTACCAAAAGAAGGCGGGTTTAGAAGATGCAACTTTGCTGCGCTAAAAAGAAATAAATGAAGTTTGACTTGAATTCCAAAGTCTTGAATTGTTTTTGTCTAAATTTGTAACTGGTGTGCCGGCTAAAGAAACACAAAAACCCCAAACAAATCCCCCCCCCCCCCCTCCAAAACCAGAAAAACAATCAAAGAACCCACGAGATTGATCAACGCTTTTCTTAGCAGTTGTTTGTCTCCTCTTACTTGTTCTTCGGAAAAAATTTCTCTTTAAAAACCTAGCTAGTTATGAAGACATTTTTACATTTCTACCATACAATAATTATAGTTAGCTTAGTTTAACCTTTCTATGTCATTCAGCAACACTTTTAACTACTGGAAGCCGTAGCAAACTGAGGCTCTAACGATAATATTGCTCCAATGATGCTGAATACTTTTTGCTTCACACAGTATTTCTAGTAGACAGACTACAACAGAAGCGTGGGCAAATTCCAAGGATTACTCTCTAAATGGGACCAGTGAACTGTGACAAGTCCATTCCGAAAATGGCAGCATGGTTTGTTTTGTTTTTGTTTTTTTTTTTTTGTAGCTTTTCCACACTGAAGAATGCCACACAACCCCAGTCAGTTGTCGGGTCACCGAGATGATGTGTCACACGCTGGCAACTGCCTGTTTGCTCGTTGATGATACTCTCTGTTTGGACTGCTGGGAGGCAGCGGCCACGGCGCAGACAATACCTTCTTGTAGACAAAGATTTAAAAAAAAAAAAAAAGAAAAAGAAAAAAAGAACTGGGCCCAGATAACCCAATAACAGGGTACAGAGCTATCTTGTCATTCTGAGTTCTTGTGAATTAAACCACTTTATAGCCATTCAAGCTAAAGCAGTACCCAAAACAGTGCATCTAGAATAAAATGTTAGTCCTCCCTCCCCTGCACCCCCCCTCTCCCTCAAGCACACTCGTTTCAGTTTTCTACTGGAATGAAGTTGAGATCCTTTAGCTAACCGTGATGGGGGATGTCCTAACTCTTTAAAAAAATAGAAAAGACTTCACCCAAACAACAGAAAAAAAGAAGTTTGATGAGTCTGGGAATTTTCTACAAACTCTTCTGTGCAGTCATCTTCAAATCACCGTAGAACACGAGACTCGTTTCTCTTCGCAATCGGATGAAGGAATCTGAAGAGTGACACTGCAAATGTCCTCATTGGAAAAAAAAGATCAGTTAGCGGGTTTTGTTATGAATCCCTCCTCTCTTAGTAGATAATTCTGCCCAGCGATGATAGCTCTGCCTGCAGCGAAAAAACCTGGACAAAAGTGCAGGAAGTAATAAGTAGCTCCTCTCCAAACTACTTACATTTTGTCCTCAACTCCAAAGCAGCCCTGCTGCTGCTATAGGCAGTCTTTGCAAAGAGCAACCTGCCCCTTGATATAGTCTCTGCAGGGACAGATTCTTCTGTGGGTTGGGTGGGAGCCGGCGCAGCTGAACAGTAAGAGGTCACCTTGGAAAACACAGTGCTTCCTTCTTCCATCGAAAGAGGGGACCAGAATATCATTTGCAGACTCCATGGTGAGACATTCGATGTTATGCCTGAAAAGCAAAGCGCAGGATGTAAATGGCAGCGGAGTTTGCAGCAGTTCAATTCAGTTTTCATCCTTCCTTGCTAAAAATAAAATAAAATACTCCGTTACATCCTAAATCAAGTACATTTAGAATTGCAGATTTCCAGAACACGGCTCTCGTTTCTTTTCTCTCTGCAGAGGGCAGCACAGCCTTGCCAGCTTCACTCATTCCCTAAAAATTAATGAAAGAAGTTAAAAAGGAAAAAAATGCTGTTGGCTGTTTCCCCAAAATGCAATATTTAAATACACCGTGGATTTCCAGTAAGACAAAACCAAAGGATCTGAAATCGGGGGATATTATGGTTGATTTCACAGGGATCTCCCCCTGCCATACCACAGGGTGCCCTGGGGAGCCATAGGTGCAGCCAGCCCAGCCCAGTCCAGCCCAGTCCAGGAGGAGGGGACACTGGGAGGACAAGGGGACGCCGTGGCATTAGGGCAGGAGCCACTGCTCCGAGGAACCCGCCGGCGTGAGCTCCCTGAAAAGAGAAGAATTCGACTTGCCATTTTCTGACCACAAAGCTTAAGCAGGAGGGTAGCAATTCCAGCAGAGGCTTGTTTTTCACTTATTCTGGAAACATCGGTAGCTTTCAGCATTTAACAGATTTTATTTTTTTTCCACAGAATTATAATTTTGTCTAGACAGCTAAAAAAAAAAAAAAAAACAACCCTGAAAAAGTTTTTACATGAGCTGCTTCTGAACTCCGCCAGAAATTACAACTTTTCAAACAAAATACAAAAAATAAAAACCCTTTTATAATTTAATTTAGCAAAAAGTGGAGATAGAGAGGCTAGGAAGCAGACTCCCCAGCAGCCATTTGTTGGAGCCCAGCTCTGAGTGCTTTGTTTCCCTTCCCAAAGGAACACAGACATATTCCCAAAGAGACAGCACTGAAAGCACCGTTAATTGCCTTAATGCAGAGCCGGGGAGCTTTATAAATTGGGACTAATACCTCCAACCTACAAGGGTTTACAATTCTTTACCTTGGACAATACCCACAAAAGGTCTGCCAAAAGAGGGGTTGCTAATTGCCAATGAATATAGGTGTTTCAATACGGATGTCAATCACGGCCAAAGAGGGAGCTCAATAAATAAAAAGAAAAGCAACACTTTCTAAGTGCTGTATTTAAAATCCCGGGACCGGCTGATGGAAATCACACAACCTGTGTGGAGTTCTGTTTCCTGCAACAAAACACGTTTATTTCCACACCAGCTGACTGAGCACAGTTAGGATTAGCCCAACTCCACTCCCTCTGGAGAGGATGTGGTGAAAGCTATGGCACAGTGCTCCTGCTCAGCCAGGGCTGCCGAGGGCCCAGCCAAACACCCTTCTGCTCCTGGCCCCTGCCATCCCCGTAGCACGAGCATCTCTGCCCACTGCAAGCAGCCCAGGGCACTATGGGCACACACGCAGGAGATGGAGGGGGCAAGGAAAAAATGTAAATTTTTGGCCCACTCTCCCTCCCCGCAGGATTTCCACGCTGAACTTTGTGCGTGGCAAAACCCAGTGCAATAAAAAGACTAAATAACGTGTTCCTGCTTCTGAGCACTTACCTAAGCAGAGCTTTGTCCTTGTTAAGATGCTGGAAGAAGGAAGGCTCGCAGATGAGCTGGCTTTCCTGACAAACTTGTTTACAGGATTTCCCAGGTTCAGCAATTTTCACTTGAAGGGCACTTAATGGGGGCCACATCACCTGCCCGTGGCAGAAATCCTGCAGTGACAGATCAGGTTTTATTAGAATGCATCCAGTCCCTCGCTGGCAATGTTCCCCAGCAGTAACAGAAGTGGTTATTATCACCCAAACACTCATTTTGCAACTCATTTCGGTTGTATTAAGATCAATAATTTAAGCACAATAAAATTCATTATTGTTTTCAGCATGAGGGAATTATTATCAAGAGGAAATGGGCACAAACTTGAATATAAGAAGTTCCATCCAAACGTGAGGAGGAACTTCTTCACTGTGAGGGTGGCAGAGCCCTGGAACAGGCTGCCCAGAGAGGTGGTGGAGTCTCTGTCTCTGGAGACGTTCAAAACCCCGCCTGGACACGTTCCTGTGCAACCTGCTGTGGGTGGACCTGCTCTGGCAGGGGGGTTGGACTAGATGATCTCCAGAGGTCCCTTCCAACCCCATATCATTCTGTGATTCCGTGATCACCTTTGATTGCTACTTGACATGTGGTAGTATCTCTCTTCCCAAAGAAGCTTCTTCCCTACCTCTACCTTTTTTAATGTATCACAAGCACCTCCAGATACTCTACTTCCACATACCCACCCCATTTTGGCTTTCTCAGTGACTCCCATTTCACCAACTGGGTGCTACCAGAACTATTTTTGTAACAGCACAAATATCAGGAGGGAGTTCTGGCGTACCCACCCCATTTTGGCTTCCTCAGTGACTCCCGTTTCACTAACTGGGTGCTACCGGAACTATTTTTGAACAGCACAAATATCAGGAGGGAGTTCTGGCAGGAGAAGAATTTCAAAGGCCAGTTCTCCTGTAGGCGAGAAACGTCTCAAGTGGCCCACGTGGAGAGCCATCTGGGAAGGATGAGGGGACCCACAGCGCCTCGGAGGGAGCTCAGCTCATGAAAGACTGAAGATTTCTATAAAGCAACCGGGATTCAAAGAGTTTGTTTGTACTTCTTGGCTGACCTGCTACTAAAAGTGCTCTCCCAACACCGAGAAAACCTGGCTATAAATAATGCGTGCGGTCAAGTGTCACCACAGCAGAAAGAGGGAAGGAAGAAACAGCATCTCAACACACCTGCTGAAGACAACCGGTCAAAGACAAGTTCTTACGGTCTTGACATTCAAAATGAGAAAAAGCAAAGAGAGAATTTTAATGGCTGGCTTTACGTACCCTTCCATGCTACGCAGCCATTCGTTAAACATTTGGCAACTCTCATCTGAAGGTGATCAAACAATCTGGTTGCAGTCCAGCACGGCTTGCTTTCTCCTGACAAAACTAACACTTGTACGAACAGGTCCCACACTGTGACCCAAAGCTTTGAAAGGCTGAACTACTGGAAACCTTAACGAAGCTAAAACCCCAAACCATTTACCGCTTCTCACTATCAGTTTGGGGTTTTTTTTTCTCTGTTTAGATTTCCGCTGCTGAAGGAGGAAGCTTTCATACTCCCAGGTCTAACCATAAATTTAATACTATACACGCATGAATCACTGAATATCCCGAGTTGGAAGGGGCCCAGGAAGATCACAGAGTCCAAACTCCTGACTCCACACAGGGCAACCTAAAAGCTAAACCATACATCTAAGAGCGTTGTCCAAACACTCCTGGAACGCTGACAAGCTTGGGGCCACCACCACTTCCCTGGGGAGACTGTTCCAGTGCTTGACCACCCCCTCAGTGAAGAACTTTTTCCCAATATCCATTCTGAACTTCCCCTGATGCAGCTCTAAGCTGTTCCCCTGTGTCATATTTGAGAAAACGGAGTCATTTTAGAGCATATTTATGGCAGAATAATTTTATCAGCATCTTAAAAGCCAGGTGGACAATAGATGGTTGGAGGTACTTTTTAATGAGGTTGTTTCTAAAAGGTCATCTTGCTGTTTGGACTTAAATGCCCTGCTTCTTCTGTCCTTTTATAATTCAGTATTTAAAATAGTACATGCCGGAGGAAATCTATATAGGTTCAAAATTCAATCCAATACTGTTATATATATATATTATACAATACTGTAATATCTACTAATGTAATATTGTGACATTGGGTTGGATTCACAGCTACTGCAGGCAGAAGACAAAGATTTTCAAAGACAGGAAATCACTTGTGAGGCTTCACCAGTTGCTGGGGGCTTCAGCTTTTAACAAGTCTTAGTTGAAAATTCTTCCCCCAAACTGGGCACAGCCTCCCATTTCCAGTCCATAGCTTGGTTGAAGCCTCCCTTGAAGCATGTCTCAGAGAATATCCCCATCACAGGTACCAGCACACAGCCCTGTGTTTCAGTTTGCTCTCTCTGGCTAGTTTTCCTACCAACCATTAAAAGCAACCTACATTTGGGATCTTCACCCCAGTCCATCTTTCCCCACAACCCTACAGGCATAAGGGTAAAACAAAGAGAAGCTGTCCTGTAAAACAGCAGGTGAAGCTTCAGCAGAGACTGCGTTTATGCTCAGTTTACCTATAACCACAGTTTCAAGGTGAGCCAGGCTTAGCCCTGCCATCAAAGGAGGTGTTCTCCTCCCTCTGGCTTTTCCTGCTCGTGGATGAATGTCCTCGCTCCACTCCCTTCGCCCAGCCCTGGTGCTCAGCTCACCCTCTGCCGAGCCAACTCAGTTTGCCAACCTAGCACAGCCCTGCCAACACCATCTTCTGCCAGGTTACCACGGACTCCGCTTGACCACATCTTTCAAACTCAGCATGCCTGTTCCATCACCCAGCCTGCCTCATCCAACACCTCCCAGGTTTCCAGCAGGGAATCCTGCCGCTGCTCCAGCTGCTCCTTTGATGGCAGTGCCAACTGAAACGGTCCCACCCTTTGGTTCCCACCCTACGCTGCCGCTTGGCAGAGCTGACTCAAGGGTTTGTGGAGCCACAGAGCAACCAGGATCAAGGGGTGGCTCCAGCAGATGGCACACACCTGGCACACACGCTGGGCTGCTGGCAGTGGCAGTGGGCCAGCAGGAAGGAGTGAAAGCTGGTTTAATCCAGCTGAAGGTGGCAACAGTAAACTTGAAACCACAGCTCACAGTAGTTCTGACTTCAGACCTTAAAAACCCTCAGCCCAATTGTTGGATCTGAAGATTCGGGGAATTCACTAAACCTACCTTTCTTGAGAACACTTGAGAACTCCTGGTCCCGAGCCAAGGCACCAGAAGGGGAACTCCGGATGACTCCTTCAAATCCTACAGTTTCACTGTCCCATGGGGTGACTTGTGAGTGTAAATGGCCCCATCCTCTTCACATTCAGCCATCCCCTGAAGACCACACATGCACCCCACTACCCCTGAACCAGATCAGGCCCACACATCTTTGTTCCCGTTCCAAACTCCTGCTGCTTTCTGTGTTCTGCCTGCCTCCCACCACAACCTCTTCAAAATAAGGTCTCGACCTTTTATTTTTGCTTCATCTGACCTGTTACTCAGGCACAGTGCTAAGCACATGCAGATGCTTGAGCATTCTGGGAGCTGTGAAATAATAGTGACTTTTGACAATTAGTCTAAGCAATGACCAAAATGACAATGCTGTATTTATTTGTGAGAAGCACGTAGTACAGGCCAGGGCTGAGCCCTCGGGGCAGGTCCAGAGGGGAGAGAGACTTTTTCACAGATTCTAGCTCTAAATTGTCTCTTTTTCTCTCTGACACTCAGCTCTATTTCCTCCTGTTTTGACAAAACCACCCAAGGCCAGCGAACTTGGGGAGAAGAACCCAAAGGAGCAGAGATACTTTTACTGGCTGTCACCAACACAGCAGCAGAGAGCATAAAGTGTTTATTGAAAAGAAATCCTGGAAGTTAATTGGCATAACAGAGACAGGGGTTATTCCTGTCTCTCCTCTGCAGCAGCCAGGACAAGAGGCAGAGCTGGCCACTGCAACAGACCCGGCCTCGGGCAGCAGTCCAAGCAAACGTACAGTTTTTAGAAATCTGTATCCCCTATAAATCTCTGCAGTTTATTACTCCAACTCAACATCTGCCGCTGCTCTCAGCCGGCAGTAATGCGTGGGGACCTAAAGTCCTTTAAGTAACTGGTTTCCAAACCATTTAAAGCTTTATCGATTGAAATTAACTACTTGAAAAATCTGCCCAGAGGTTCTAGTCTAAGTGCGACACTACCAACCAAAGGATCTCAATATTTAGGTGATACTTCATGATCCGAAGATTTTTTGCATGTACACAGGTAAGGAAGTCACAGACACACTGAAAAATTACTTTGTCTTTCTGCTTTGGTATAACATCGGAAGAAGGAAGGTTCTTTGTAAATAAATTAATAAAAAATAATTAAAAGCTCCTATAGCTCCTGAAACTCAAGAAAGTATATCAATTTTTTCAAAGACATATGGTAAATCAGACACAGATTAATCAGAACCCAATGGCAACCTGAGAAGCAGAACGAATGTATCTGTCTTAATTTCTAGTCAGTCTCTTCACACATGAAAAATCCCCCTGGTGCTGTATCTGGAAGAAGCCTCCCAGACCCCACATGGCCAAGTCCACAGAGGTGAATCTCTGAATCCACATGGACCTCCCAGAGGAACACCATCTGAGCAAAGGATGCCCAGAGAGGGCCTGCACAGCTGCTCTTTCTACTTGAACAGCAATGATGCTGAGAAGCTTTACAAGGTAGGGGCTCCTCTCTTTCCAACATAAAACAACAGACTCATTCACAGTGAATGTTCATACCTGTCTTTCGATGAACGCATTCATCCTCTGAAGCATCCCCTCACATGTAAATTCATAGGGCAAATAAGGGTCAATCTGTGGAAACACAGCGTGTTAGGGTTGGAGGGGATTTTGTTGAAAGGAAGTTTGTGGTGCGCTGGGTGGTGGCGGCGTGCATTCCAAATGCCACATTACAGCTTAAGTAGCAACAATAAATGCAAATAAACTCATTACCAAATCACACTTTTACAAAGCCATCAGCAGTTTAAGCTGATTTTTGCTCCTTTGTAAAGGCAATAGAAGTTGCACAGTGATTATCTTTAAAGAAACTCAGGGTACACTGCAAAGAAATAGATATAAATGCAGCCCCAGACCCCGCGGGATTCCAGAACTTCTGTTTTAACTAAGTATCACTTTTGGAGTTGAGGTGAAAAAGAAAACATTATGACAAAAAAAGAATGTGATACCTTTGAAAATTACTTCAAACTTTTTTTCCCCCCCTTGAAGTGCCCTTATTACAATTCCTCACTGTAAGTGCACAAGCACCTCAGGGGTGGTTGTGTCAAGGCTACAAAACCAGCCCAAGGAGCTGAGCATGTATGTGGGAGCTTGCAGTGCCCTAAGAACCAACATAGAAACCTCAGCACTGAACGCACAGAAAATAAAGATTGTTGCATAATTCACATCTGAAATCCAGATTTCTATACAAATTCACTCATGCTCATTTTTTTCAGGCAAGCCCCTGACTTATCCAGTACTAAAACATGATAATCAGGTACCACAGAGATGTAATAACAATTTTTTTTCTCCCAGTATCCTACCAAAGCGCAGCACTCCACTTTAATTAGACTGACATTAGGAAGCAGTCTCCATGCAGCACACAATACACCTCCTCAAGTGCTGATGACAAATGGAGGACGCATTTCTCACCTTTTGATTCAAAATTGATTTCACGGCCTTCTCAACTTCTGAAAGATCATTGATGTCTACAGTCCAGACGTGGGGCTTCCCAATGTAAACTTCAGCATAGGGGTGCTGAGATGTCAACTGAAAGGAAGAAATGACATTGGTAAAAATTAATGTGTCAAGATATCTTTGCCTTTTGCTCTCTTCATCAGACTTCTTGGATAAAGTGCACAAGGATTAATGCAAGAATCCAGCTGGAATTTAACAGCATCATTCCTTCTGAGTTATATTTCAGATTTTCCGTGTTTAAATTCAGAAAGTCAATTTAGTTGGAAAACTGAATCTCAGATAACAACGCAGACCACACGTAACATTTGTGCACCTCTCATTTGTGGCTTCCCCACAGCTCATTCACAGAGCGGCCCCATGTTTTCACAACCCCCAATTGCTACCAGTCCTGGTCAGACCTGCCTGACTGCCTTCAGGAGATGTCACCCTTGTCCTGTCTCACCTTTAGACAATGTCCTGGCCCTGACTCTCCTTCAAATTTCAAACATTTCCAATCTTCTGTGAGTAGTAGGCAATAAAGAACCATTTAGAATTGTCTAGATTGGAAGGGATCTTTCAGATCATTGAGTCCAACCATCAACCTAACACTGACAAAACCACCACTAACCCACGTCCCTCAGCACCACATCTACCTGTCTTTTAAATACCTCCAGGGATGGCGACTCAACCACTTCCCTGGGCAGCCTGCTCCAATGCTTGACAACCCTTTCAGTGAAGAATTTTCTCCTAATATCCAATCTAAACTTCACCTGGCACAACTTGAGGCCATTTTGTCTTGTCCTCTCACTTGTTACTTGGGAGAAGAGACCAACCATGGCTCTCTACACCATCATTTCGGGTAGTTGTAGAGAGCGATAAGGTCTCCCCTCAGCCTCCTCTTCTCCAGACTGAACAACCCCAGCTCCCTCAGCCTCCCCTCTTAAGACCTGTGCTCCAGACCCCTCACCAATTTCATTGCCCTTTTCTGGACTTGCTCCAGAACTTCTATCACTTAGATGAATTCTGACTCTTGCTGTTGGTAGTATAAAAGTGATTTCACCTTAATAATAGTGTTAATGGTATTTTGCTCACCACTTTGTCAGGAAACAAATTCAATAAATACCCAAGTAGATAACTAAGAAAAGTTATATCAAAGATTGTTTTCAGAAGTAGCAGAATGGCACTAAAAGGAATTTTTGTGACAGGTTGCACAGGAGTGAGAGGGACATGCAAATGAACCCATAGAGAGGAAGTAAAAGCTGCAGTAGAGACGGGAATGTTTCACAAAGGCCTCAGAAGAAAATTGCTTTTTAAATAAATATACCCCCCTCCCCAGAGGATATATTATTCATAGACAATTCATATTCAGCTGCCTCTTCATGCATGATACAAAGAGAAATCTAGACAGTGCAAAAGATCTGAAGTAGGAACAGTGTCTGTCGGAAAGAACCTTCTCCTGCTGTGGGCATACACCATGCTTGCATCAAACTGCTTACAAATCTTTTTGCCTATTGCATTTTGCTTGTGGATGAGAGAAGCCACTGTTATGGTCGATATGGGATCAGCCAGCATCAACCTGTGGGGGATCCTGTAGTGGGGAAGGCTCGTGGACCAGTATTCCTGCTGCCACTAAAACCATACGTACTTGAAACTTTGGTTACCGAGACTGAGCTCCCAGGGCACTTGTCTGGACTTCAGATGGCAGAAGCCACATTCCTATTGCTTTCAGTAACAACTACAAGCCTTCTACTGTGCCTTTAAAAATATGACCATCAATCAGTGTTTTCAATTCCACAGATCCTTAGGAATTATGCCTTACACCACTCTTTCTCTACCATCTCAGACAGACAGACGGCAACATTAAAGCCAGATCTGAACTAAAAGAAAAAAACCCAAACTTCTTAGCCTAGTTGCTGTTTTAAGTATTAAGAGTAACTAGTAACATATTTTTATTGCATCAGTTATTCTATATCTATACTCTCAAAAAGTATTAAAGCTATTTCCTAATACTGAAGTGCTTTAATTAGCCGAGGCTTAATGTTTTAGATATTCAGGAGATACTCCTTCTGTCTATAATTAAAATCTGTAAGAATTCTTATAAATAGATTTGGAATTAATTTCTAATTTCAGATATTTTTTTTTTCCTTCCTAAAAGCAGAAAATGAAAGAAATCACACCCACCAAGTACACATGCCAACTAGATTTAGTACACAATGTTTTCCTTCTTGGGGTGGGGGAGCAGCAGCAGAAGAAATATTGCTACAAATACTGGTAAAAAACAAGCTCCTTGAAGGTGATTATTTTTTTTTCTGGCTCTTTTCCCCAGCGAAATCAACGGAGAAGAAATATTGGTACAAATACTGGTAAAAAACAAGCTCCTTGAAGGTGATTATTTTTTTTTCTGGCTCTTTTCCCCAGCGAAATCATGTCCTAAGGTAAAAAAATTGCTGAACTAAAATTAAAATTGTCATTTCCAGTTTTTCTAAGGAGTCTTCACTACAGCAGGACCCCCTCCATCTTGCAGGTAGAGGGGAAACAGTTAACTCCCCCAGATAAATTCTCCTAGAACAGGACAGAAATGATGACTTGCAATGGTTACTTTACAAAACTACTAAACACAGACTTTATCTTCAAACCCCAAATAAATTCTCTGTTCCTCCTTTAACACTTGAAAAAACCGAGAGAAGGATTTAAGGACTTTCTTAATCCCTCCATCTTGCAGGTAGAGGGGAAACAGTTAACTCCCCCAGATAAATTCTCCTAGAACAGGACAGAAATGATGACTTGCAATGGTTACTTTACAAAACTACTAAACACAGACTTTATCTTCAAATTGGTCTATGGATAACCAATTCGCAGAGCTACACAGGCTTTTTTTGTTCCTCCTTTAACACTTGAAAAAACTGAGAGAAGGATTTAAGGACTTTCTTAATCCCAAAGAACCAGCCCATGGATTACTGGCAATCGGATCTAAATGCAGTTGTGAAAACCAGTTAAGAGAAAAGGTTACTCTTAGGATAGGTCAGCGGAGCATGTGAAGGCAGCGATGGTCATGATGAATGTTATATTACTTTGCACTAAAGCAGTCAACAGGGATTAGTTTTCTGTGCCAGTCAGGTGCCCAGCATTTCTGTCGGTGCTGACACATGCCAGAGGGATTTACCACAGCATTCCAAGCACTAAATTTCCTACTGAAGACTTAGATGGGTCCAGATTATTTACTGAGCCTGACCAGTTGCAGTGTCTGAGCACAGAAGAACTGGAAAGGAGACACAGTCAAGCGATGCACAGAAGACAAGCTCTGAAAGGTACCAAGCCCAAGGAGAAAGTTTAAACAGACTTTTTTCGCTCTTATTGCTATCTCCTTTAGCAATGTAAGATGTGAGAAGGGCAAGTTTGAACTCATGTCCTGCCCCTGCTGAGTTTGTAACAAGTTGAAAGGCAATTACTGTCCTGGATCGTGAAAACATAAGGAATTTATGTTCCTGGTTTAAAATGGGAAACTGTCCTTTCCTTATCAGCTACCTCAGTACATAATTTAAATAGCCCCTTATCAACTACCTCAGTACGTAATTTATATAGTCCAAGGGTAACTTGAATTGGGAAATGTGGCTGTGGAAAATTTGCATCATCTAGGTGTTAGCAGAGACCTCTACCTTCAGGTAAGAATGTAAAGGAAACACCCACGTACACCTACAAACAAGCCATGGTCAGAGGCAAAGTACTAATGCCAGAAACAGCTACAAGACAGTTAAATGCTTGCAAGGGGTAGAGGCTGAATGTTACCTACACTGAAGAAGAAAAATATTCCAAAGCCAGTGCCAGGATGGATGAGGGGTAGTTTACTTAGCCTCATTTTTCTCTTACTGGAGTCTAAACACACTGCCTGTTTTGGAAGCTTGAGGTTTGGTTTTCCTGTTCTCTTAAAGATTCAGTTTTCCAAATGTCCTCAGTGTTTAAGCACAAACCCGGTGGGCTGTGACCATTAATACTGTAGCTCAGCAGTGCCCTGAGCAGGGCTTTTCTGGAGAGAAAAAATATCCCAAAACACACACAACCACCCACAAATGGCATTTTTATTATTTACTTAAACACCTATTTGCTTCCTACACAGTACAGAGTAATGTTTGTTTCTTCAACAAAATAAAACCACTCTGAAATGACACGTCGTGTGCCAGATGAGACGACCTGTTCCTGGGCGGAACATCATGTTTTCCAGTGAAACTTCAGTTTATGATCTGTCAATAAGGATAGAAGAATGTACACATAGGCAAATCTAGATGTAAAACTTCATGGTACGTTAATGAAAAATGTTCATTACCCTATAAAAATAAGGATTTATAATGCCATCAATAGCTGAAGAAAACAAGTTGCACACCTTTTGCAAATAAACTGAGGATATTTATGCAATTTTTCCTATATTGTGTAACTAAAAAGAAATCCACAATCATTTTCAATAAAGAAATGACCAAAATTGTTAAAGCTTACCTCTCGGAGTGTAGGTTTGCCTTTGAAAAATTCTGTGTTTTTGCTACTTTTTGGTGGGTTAAATCTTAAATTTAGAAAAGCACATCCATTAGCAATAGCCTCTAAAGGAGCCGGCCCTTCATATGGAAATCCAAGACCAACGAAGAGCTGAAAAACAGAAAACAAGGACTATCTTAATTTCTGTTCTTTACAAAAACTGAAAGCTAAGAGTTAGTTGAAACAATAATGCATTCTAAATGTACCAGCCTTAAAAAGTCTAACATTAAGAAAATGGGAGAAATTCAGCAATTTCTCCTCCCCAGGCAGTCATGGAATGTCCCATAAAATACATTCAACAATAATTTTCTGTAATGAGCTGAGGTGGTTTTTCACGGAGCTGAGGCAACAACGGACCCTTTCAGTTATTTTTTGGGGGAAAAAAAAAAAAAGTCTTTGGTGGTTTGATTGGTGTCTCAAGGAACTGCTGGGCCTCTCTCGCAGGTACAGGCTTTGCTGCAGCAGCCTCAGGGAACAGCTACGCTACTGTTTCCCCCGCTCTCCCACATCAGCCAACCTGCTGGTTTTGCCAACATGAACACGCTCCTGCCAAACTGATTAAGTCTTCTAATTAAAACGGTAGATGGCAGCAAACATCAGCTGAAGACACCGTGCTCAGGCAGCCAGAGCTTGCAGAGGATTTCGAGGGTTCAACCCCTCCAAGGTAAATTGAAGGAGGAAAAATGCATCACAAAGCTGTTCTTACATCAGCCGAGATTAAGCATGCTCTAGAAAAGGCAATGCTTTTCTCCAACGTAAAGAAATTTAGTATTTTTTTTCAGAGTTGTCTGGCTTTTATTTAGATCTCGATCCCTGTCCTGGCCCAACATAACTAAAAACCCTGAATTAAATAGAGGATTCTTGATCTTTATTTGAATGCCTGTATATAATGGGAGAATTACAAGCTCTGATTTGTAATGGCAATTTCTCAGCACTGCTGCATAATGTGTGTACATATATATATATAGACACTGGTTTTTTCAAGAAAACAAAGAGCAATTTTCATAACTGTTAGGATCTTGTATTCAGGATGCACATATCCAAAGAGGCCCAGTTATACGATTCTGCATTAAATTTTCTGCAACATCGAAGTGAATCCCCGTAAGAGAAGATTGAAAACCGAAGGCCCCTTCTAGGAGCTGACCTTAACACTGATGCATAGACCTGTGGTCACAGAATCATTTAGGTTGGAAAAGACCCTTAAGATCATCAAGGCCTACCAGCAGTATTGCTGGGCACGAGCACTGCAGCATCAATCCTCTCCAACCCGTGGCAAAAACAGTATAAAATTCTGAGCTGGCTCATTTTAAATAGAAAGTTAACACTTCTCAGCAGAGTTGGGGACATACGGTTTTCACTGCATGGAGCTGAATAGCGTTATTTCAGTTTTAAAAGTTTAGGTGAAAAAAGTCACTGACTTGCAAAAAGCTTCTCAGTTATCTCACAGATTTAAATCTTACAGGAAACTCTCCAAATCTGAAAAACTACCTCCACTGAAGCTAGATTATCTATATCTGGGATATGTATATGGCATAAAGACTCATTACCTTTCATTCAGAAAAAATACATACCAAATCTCATCTCAAAAGAGGCTTAATTTAAAGAAAGGTAATGTCTTGAAAATAACGGATTGCGGACATGAAACCATTTCACGCGATCTGCACACATAATGTTATTTATTTAAACTGCTCCTTAGCTCAGGTAGAAAGCCAGCTGAGAACCAGCAATTAAAAGCATCTGAAGTACCAATTCTCCTATGATCCCGTGTTTGCCTGTTCTGTAGAGAACGCTGGTTTGTTTGCTTCGTTTCTCCCCTTTTTAATAAACTGCCGCTGCGCGCGGCTGAACAGTTCTGTGTCTGACTGGTCCGTTTATTTAGGAGGAAGCTCCACGGGGAAAGAAACATGGGTTTATGTTTTGACAGCCCAGAGCACACTGTCAACACTTAATCTATAATAAATAGCTCACCACCTGTTTCGCATCCATTTTCCAACCTTACCTCTAAGCAGCACCATGCCTTTGAAGAAAGAAGGATGTGTCTGGCTGCTAGATAGTGTGTGTGCTGGCTGTTGGTCTGAGGTTTTAGCCCAGCTCACTGCTGCCCGCAGCCCCTACCCCAGCTCCTTCTTTCAACCCTCCAAATATCTTCTATCGCTCTCCATCACGTCATCATCACGGCAGCTGAAAATCCCAAACTGAACCTAGACCCTGCTCCTGGAAACTGTCCTTCATTAACGTTCCTTGGTTAGGGAGATAGTATTTTGGTATGGTTAATAAAGCCCAAAACTGAGGAATATCTTAACTGCCTCAAGAAAGTCACACTCGTTATGATTCAAAAAGCAAGCACTGGAGAACACAGGTCATTTCTATAACTCATTCTCACAATGCTCAAATTTGCTAACCTCTTGAATTACATGTAACTTGTCATTTCCAGAAAGGCTGAAACAACCTGTCAAAGTACTTCCTAAAAGTATGTAACAAATGCTGCAAGTCCCTAACTCAAAAAGCAGGGGGAAAATAGAAAAAGGTACAAATAACAGAGAGCTGTTTTCCAGTACTGGTGAAGCAAGCATCCATCCTCAGTACAGGTGAGGCCGTGTGGAAGACAAGGCTCCTTTCCACAAAATGATAAGAATTTATCACTCTTTTGTGATATAAATGCACGCTGTTGCCTCCACATAGGGTTGCTGGCTATGGCTTTTAGGGGATTCTCTTACCAGACGCTGTGCCTGGTGATGGAGCCCACTGTGGGCAGCAACCTTCACCTGTGGCTGAAGATCTAGAATGCAAAATCTGACGCTGTTGGCACCATAACTGTGGGCACACACGGTCAGCCGCAGCAGAATTGGTATGCAGAGTAGAATTCCTCTATACTTTACTGGTTGATTAGTGCTTGAAACCATTTCATTTTCTGTACGCGAGCATTTTTCTCACTTTTCAAATGTTTTTGAAAGCCAGAATCATTATTTTTCGTAGAGTGCTTTAAGCCACAGTAGGCTCTGTGTGCTAACGCCCCATATAACGAGATGATTGCCAGGAGTTTACAGTATAAAAGTACATCTAAAAGAGACAGCAGCAAATAAATACAGATGTAAAATGATCATGGCAACAGCAGTGGGTTTTTTTTTTAAAAACCATTTCCTTGTTTACAAGGTCTGCCACCCAGGTGTGGCTGTGCCTGTAGGTCTGCACGAATCAAAAAAGGGCATTCATATCTGCCATCTCACTTGCCCAACTTGGGTAAGCAGGTGTTGAAACCCTTCAGCAGAGTACTTCAGCTTTCATAAGAAAGGCTTCTTAGGAAACTTCTCTGCCTTTGCAGTGAACTCAACCCCTGGTTTGGAATTTCAGGCTTTTGAGTTGGCCACCCAGCAGCAGAGCAGCCAAGAGACCATTCTTTTCTGATGATAATGCAGGCAGTCCTTTCAGGGTGCAGTAGCTAAGTGGAAACTTCTCTTGACATGAAAAGTGCTTCACAATCACTCCCGTGACTAAACAGCGGCGTTTTGTTTTATTTTTTGGAAACCACTGACTTTCAGTTGACACAAAGCAATTTGGTTGTGGAGTTCTCGGCACCAGATCGGACTACTATTAAAATGAGTACTTGAACAAACAGTCTTTCGAAATTATAGCCAAAAGTATATAAGGAAGAGTGAATGTTTTACCTCACTGACTGTAATTCTGACTAGCTGAATATTTAAGAGCAAAATTTCATATTCCAGAGACTAAATGCTAAATTTCCATAAATAGGAGTGTTTATCTCCTCCTCTCCCCTTTCTTACACTACTGCACTTCATCAAATTTATTCTGTTGGGTCGGTGGGTTTATCACCACTTCTGTATGCCTCCTTTCTGAACTCATATTCTCGTCTGAACTACAGCCAGAGAAGTGTAGCAAAGGCTGTTGTTAACTACCTCGATATATTTTTCTCATGAATATAAAGTACTTTCTGGAAAAGCCAATCCTTTTGTGATTGAAACAACTTCAGAATAGAATCACTAGTTAAATGTCTTTTCAGCTGACCTTGTGAAGCATGTGGAAGTAAAAAATATATTACTTCATAAAAGGCAATATGAAAAGTTTGTTTTCCTATTTCTGCTTACCCAACGCTGCAATGGGATTTTGCCCAAACTGTCTAAACAGGGTGTCGCTCCTGCCTTTATTAATCGCCATTCAGAAACTGTAAATTCCACTTAGTAAAAGAATTTGGATTCCCTCAAAAATTCCCAGTGGCTTGAAGTAAAAAGTTGCATCTGAAACTTTCTCAAAAGGAGAAATATTTCTCAAGAATTCAGTCCTGGTTCTTCCAAGAGTCTGGTCCAACTCCTCCAGCTGCCCACTTGGCAAGGAGCCACGCAAGTTGGCAGGAAGGCTGCCAGCTCGCCTACCCTATTTTCCTCTGACGTGATGAATGGCTTTACATCTTCTCATTAGGAACTGTTGACATGTCTCGTTTTTGTCATGCACTACACAGCTGAACTAGCCATGATGAATCCCAAACAGCCCCCCTCCTGCTTGGAAAACGCACTTGTTCTGGAACGCGTTGCTTTATAATACACACCAGACTGAACTGGCAGCTGCAGGCTTTTGAGAATAACTGTGCCCTGAACCAACTCATACATTTTGGGAAAGCCAAGCTCTGATCAAGACTCATGACCGAGCCGTCACCTATTGGTATTTTGCTCTATAAGGGCAAAATGAAGCAGTGCAACATAAACCCACACTTCTGAGTATACCGGACTGTGTGATTTGTTAAATTATTATTACTTTCTGAAAAACTATATCATTTGTCAGCTGATCTAACAAAAACTTGCTAACACAATGTTGAAATCACAAGCAACAAAAGACAATCCTTGCCCTTGGGTATGAAAACATACATTTAGAAAAAGAAAAATCTGAAAGTTTCTGGAAGCTTAAAGACAAAGTTTGTTTCTTGGAGACAGTAAATAATGGGCCTGGATGGTTCCAGTGAGCATTGTACCCACAGATGTTACCATCCCTGAGTTACGGCTCCCATTATTCACACACTTTCAGCACACCGATTGTCTCGTCACAAAACCCCATAACTAAATTCATTATGGGGCTCCGGTCACGTTGCCTAGCGATTAAAGTGATTATGATTAAAAAGTGTCCTTGAACATCACTGGAGTCATGTGCACGCATACACGAGTCTCCTCAGGGCACAAAGCTCCCATTCAAGTCAGCTTGATTTTGTGGAAAACCTGCACTTATTTTAGCAATTCAATCCATGATCCATTTAATACAAGCACAATCGAGCCACACACGCAGCAGATGGCCAGCAGAGACAGGTGAGTGGTGCTTTATGCTAAGCTACGACAAAGTATTGTCTCTTAAAAGGTACCAAAATCTGAAACTGTGAACGTGCAGGTTAACAAGAAGACTTAGACCAAGTACGTCTGTTGATCGACGCTGAGAGACAACCATATGCTGTGACAGTGAACCTATGAGAGGTTAGAAGAAAAAAAAACCACCCAAAAAACCAACAACCCCCCAAATCCACCTCCAACTGAAAAAGTCCAAACAAATGAGATGGTAAACCTCAGTTTCCACTTTCAATCTCAAGACACTGTTGTTTTACTTTTCCTGTGAAACTAGATATATTGGAACAAGTCAGTATTAGATGGAATAATAACTGTCTCATGATGCAGTAAGCCATATTTCATTTCATTTTGTTGCAACCTCAAAAATACATTGGGCTCCCATTTGCCTGACAATAATAAGTATTAGGAGAAGCAGATGGACTCTTAATGGCTTATCACCAGGTTGAAGTTTTGTTAGTCTGGCTGCATCGTAAATAAATAATTTCCTTAAAAGGAAAAGAGCTTTTTCATTTGAAAATCTGCTAACAAAAGTTCAGAAAAGCCGCATGAAAATACTGTTTGCAGACTTTTAAAAAAATATTAAAACGGTTTATTAAGAAAGATTGTATCAAAAAGATAATGTGATAAAAACACTGGCTTCCTAATACAGGATTCTGAAACACATTGATGTGTTTCTCAGTGCCATCTACTACGAAATGCAGCAAATTCTCAAAGGATTCGCCCAAGTGTTACGAAGGAAAAATCCCCACCACTAAAAAAGAATGCACAACAATAGTACAGAAAATTATTAAAGTGTCTTTAACAAAAATAAAATTTATGAAAAATATGCAACTTGCTGATCTCAAGAGTATTTCATAATCACAAGACAGTATCTTCCATCTGATATTTAAATTACCAGTAAAAAACTAAGTGAAACTAGTCTGGCTACTTCCTGTGTCGCAAATGTCCCTATCGCTTCACTGTGCTGAGTTGCACAATATGTATTATCAACTTGAATTTGTCCTAAATTGAGTGTATCTTTACATTGCATCTTAGAGCACAGCAAATATAACTAATAACATCTAGACGAGCTATCTACTTAGCATTGAAAAATCAAGCTTTATAGCGTAATACATATAAGATGGCTGATAAAGAATTAGAGGAGGACTTACTCAAACATAACTATTATTATGAACTGTACTTTGAGAATTATAAAGACTTCAGTAATTAGCTTATTTTACTATTCCAGTGAATAAAACATGTTGGATTTTTTTTTTTTTTTTCCCAGAAAGAAGTCACTGTTTGTGCTTGGGGTTATAACAATGTCAATATTCTTCCCACATTAGTACTATGATTAACACAGTAATTTCATACTCCACACAGGCAAAAGCTGTGTAATCTCAGTATTATCTATGAGGAAAGTAAATGTTGACTTTTTAATCTGCAACATTATGTGTATCTGTATGCATCAAGTACATACACACAGTGGTTGCCTTTAAAAAGGCATAATTTGCCAACAGCTGTCACACAGAGATGTCAAATTACCATCATTTTCCCAAATATTTCAAAAAGGAGATCTCTGCAGTTGTGTGGGAAGACTGGGAGGTGCTTGCTTTTTTTCTTTTGTTTTTATAATAGATTCTTCTGTAGAAGTGCACAGCCAGAAACTATCAACAATGGGGAGTAAGTGGTGCAGTTCCACTCATTTTGCTAATTTTAAACACACAAACTACTTCTTTCACCAACTGGAAGTTAAACATCCTATTTAAGTGTAATCTACTAAAGTGTTTTAATGTTGTAAAGCACCACAAAGATCATGAGAATGGCACAGAAAACCCCACAAAGCTTTCTAACTATGGGGACAAAAGTTTCTTTATTTCAATGTATATATTGCCCCTTATCTCGAGATACCTTGCCTATGGGGCTACAGGCAAAGCACACCATAAAAAGCAGAGTCTTTTGCTTGCTCTCTCTGCACAACTGAAGCAGAGAAAGGAACTGAATGGCAAATGAAGTGCTTTTCTTCTTTTCTCCCCTAGAGAGTAGGGTCACTCTACGTTAAAGTCATTGGTAGGGCACAGCAAGTATGCCTATTGTACAGCTTTCAGATGGTACCTAAACGTTCACATCAGGGATGTAAAACAAAGCACATTCTCAGCTGATAATCTCCTCGAGCTGAATATCACATTTAAAACAATGAAAAATGCATTTATCCACGTTTCTCAACCTGGCTGTTAAATGTGCCTGTGGGTTGTCAACCCGATTTTCTTATAGTAGCTGTGAGTCCACACAACATGGACGTGATGAAAAACGTATTCTTAGCACACGGAAGACAACTTAAGTTCCTTTATGTTTGGTCATTTATTTTTCCAATGCTTTTAAAATAGGAGCCCATTTGTAGGAGGAGAAACACATGCACTTCAGATACTGTCTATCCATCGCTATTTTTGCCCCTACTCCCTCTTGACAAACTTACCTTGGTTTCCCTCAGTAGAAACTGCAAATCCCGCCCGCTGAGAATACCGTGGTTTTTTACGTAGCCGGGAATATACATCGTGCTGGATCCGTGAACAGTTCCATGGACTTCCATGTAGGTGTGGATGATGTCCAGATAAGCCTTCTTATCCTGGAAGAGCAACAATAAAATATTTTCAGCCTTTACACATTTCAACCAGCAGCGCTCCATCAGAGCTGGTTTTTATCTCCTGTACCACAAAAGCCAGAAAGAGAAGAAGTTCCCTCATTCTTACATGAATTCTATAACAGTTGATCTTTCATTACGTTATTAGTTTTGTTTCTACTAGATTGGAAGAAAACTGCATCTTTTTTATTCATAGTACAAATAAATCAATACGAAGGCCCTATTAATTTCTAATTAGACAAAAACCAGGTCACTGTCAGATAGCTGTACTCTCAGCGTGCCTAAACAATACTTGGCCTAAAAATACTAAAAGATTTGTTTTGAAATATCAAATTTTCACTCTGTTTTTGTCAGAAATGCAAAATACTTAGTAATTGTTTATGTTCTTTGTAAAGAAATGGGTGAATCTCACCTTAGTAAAATGCACTCTTGCCAACTGAATAACTGAATGCATATCTTTATCTAAATACCTAGTATCTGAGTCCCATAAGATACCTACAAAAATTCCACTTACCTAAAGATTTAAAGGCATTTTGGAAAAGACCTGGAGAAGAGTAATGGCTTTAGTGTTGCATTTAAAAAATAAAAATAGTATACCATCCTCGTTTGCAAACAAGAGTTACTTTAATTTTCAATGCCATATGTTTTTTGAGTTTTAAAGACTACTAGGATTCCAAAAGCAATTAGCTGTAGACTATATTTACAGCCAGGATGCAGCACAGATCAGAGAGACTTTCCCTCAATATTTGCACATAGTCTTAGTAATAGCTCTAAAATCAGGCAACAAGTTTCTGTACTTCTTGGCAGCGAGAGAGTTTTTAAGAATTCTACTTTCACTCACTATTTTTGCCATGTAAATTCCCAGCCCTGTGTGAAAGTTGGCCAACAATTTTAGTGAAGTTCATTCAAAGGGCAAGTAGATCGGTGAAAATCCTGTCTTTTTTAACCTTGGAGGAGCAGTAAGGTATCAGGCCAAGGTACATGGGGTATTTAATATCATATAACAACCAGCTTCCAGCTGTAGCTTGCTCTACTGGTGATACCATTTGTGAAGAAGTAGCTTGCTGGCCTCATCATTAAATCCCCCTGTTCTGGTGGTGATGCCAAGGTTGCACCAATCAGACAATGTCCTGGGCTAATTATTATATAAAACACTCAACAAATGGAGACAAATGTGCTGTCTTGTTTGATGTGGTTGCTGTTATTGTTAATTAGCAAAAAATATTAAAAAAAAAAAAAAAAGCTTGCTCCTATTTCTTTTGCATTTTACTTCAAATTTGAATTACTCTGAAAGAGATGGTCTTTCCATTATTCGTAGAGCAGCAAAATTAGAAACTGTTGAGAAACTTATATATTTTGTTAAGAAAAAAATCAATTGTAGAACTTTTTCCTTTGCAAATGTGCAGGAGAAATATAAATGGAGTAGCCTGGTCTAGTTTGCAGAACGCAGCAGTGGGCTGTTGCTGGAGGCCCACCTTAATCCTATCTGGGTTTTGGTCCCAACGGAGCCTATTCCTTAGGCTTAAGTGCTCTGACTGGGGAGAGAAGGCAATGAAGTACAGCTACTACTGACCTGATGTGCCTACAATAAGAACACTAATGCGCATTCCCCAAATTTTATTGGCTCATATCACACAAAGGGATGACACAAATGCACTCTAACTCAAGATAAATATATGGGAAGCAAGCACCTAGAAAGAACAAAACCAGCACTACCTAAAATTGCACTTATTTATTTTAACGATTCCGATGGCAATTTTACAAACCTCTGCTACAGAATATGTAGGTGCTCTAAAATAAAGTATTTGATAACAAAGTTATTTAGTGTTTACAGTCTTTCTAATGGTTCCTGAGGAACTGCATTATTGGCTGTAGGACTGTGGAAGACTTTATATAGGTTCGAAATGCAATTACGGAAGAAAAACCCATGAATTGTTATTGAACAGAAACACACAATTTTTGGCCCAAGAAGTTCAGGAACCACTTGTCTCTGGTGGCTGTGAAATGCCTGATTTTGCAGTCTTCCTTACACAACAAGTTTTGGCCATTTCTTGGCTAGATAAATCTTTGATGTGAACTGGCCCTGCTGCCATCTCATTATCTTTATTAGCTCATTCTCAAAGACAAAAAGGACCCAAAGAAATGTAACATTTTCACGTCTCTTGTTTATATGTGATGCCAATAAAAACCTAGTGGTTTTTCACAGAAGCATCTGTGAAGTTCCTTGCTTAAATTCTGCTGGAAACACTCTGATACATACAATGGACGTTGAATTTAGGCCAAAGTACTTCCCAAATCATCTTGTGACTAACAAAGTGAATCTTCCTACTATATCTATGTGCTGTCCTCTATATAAATGCCAGCACTTGATGACTACAAAACAGGGAATATACAGGATTAAAATAAGTATACTAAGATGGGATGAAAAGAACAGGCTTTCATGCTGTATTTACAGTATGTTTTTATAGGGGCAGAGGGAGAGTTTTTACTTAAAACCCTAAAGTTACAAAATAATGTAATAAATATTACCAATAAATTCAAATTAACTGAGCAGATGTACAAATCATATTTGAAATGAGTATATAAACAATATGATTTAGGAAGACCAAGCAAAAGCAGTGATAAAATCAGCATGTTTTAAGCCTCTCTGCAAGTGTAAACAAAACATTAAATTAACTATCCATTAGGAACGTTACCTAACCATATGACTGACTTCTTTCCCGATTCAGAGTCTAAAACTACAGATAACACATTTAGTACCCAAAACAGCATCAATTCATCCACCCATAATGTTTAGAAAAATAATGGACTTTTAAGTGTTTTTGCTGGGTTTCAACTTCTACAAGATAGGGTGACTAGCTATAGAGTCTACAGAAGTGGCTGCTCCTTGTAGACAGACAGGTACAAGTAAAGGGATCAATATGTAAAAATTTTATGAATTAGTTTTCAAACCACAGGAGTAAAACCCTGAAAAAACACCACACACAAACTGGGAAAAAAATCTTTCATCCCCCAAAGGGCTACCCTCTTTCATTTAATCAAATGAAAATTTAAAACAACATTTGGAACACAGAGTAGCATCTTCTCTTTGTTCCCTGGACATAAACCACTGGTTTTTAATTTTTCCAAAAGTCTGTCTTTCTGAAGGAAACAAACAAAAAGAGCCCAACCAAAACCTCAGAAAGCACAATCCACAAAACAATCACTCCTTTATTCCCTCATTCACCTTGAGTCAAAAGCTACCGCTTTTATAACCATCTGTAAAGCACCATAAAAATACCATTAGCACCATATATCTTACACAAATCTCACTAACATTTATCTCCTTTTGCATTTAAGTAGTCCTGAATTTCCACATTCCTTGTAGAAAAGCGTTATTTTGGATCATAAAAGTATATATTGTAATAAACCACTTCACAAAAATAATCAGGCACATAATTCCAATTCCATACATTAAAAACACTGAATTAGAAAATGGGAGAATGTAAACATGGCATTTATAAATAGAAAGGCAATACAAGAAAATAAATCAGGAGATATGATTTGCAAACAAATTATCAACATGCCTTCAACTGTTAATCCATTTCCTGAGTTTGCCTGCTTGGGTGCAGATATAAACATTCTTTTATCTTAAATCATTTGTCAGTAAACTCGAGATTTTTACTTTCTCCAAAAAGAGAAAGTAAAAGAGAAAAGATAATAGGCTGCTGGCTAGTAATGGAAAATCAACTTTCCCTGCAGAGTTTGGGTCAGACTGTGCTATTCACCCATATCTCCTCTCTGTACTGCAAATCTAGACTTCGAGCATGAAATATAACCAATTTAAAAAAAACCAAATTATTTCTTCTCAAAATCAAAATGGAAGAATAACTGTGAGTAACAGTCATACAAAACTTTTCTGAAACAGTTTTTCAGCAGCTAAAATAAACATGCCATTCAGGAAAGGAATTTTTGTTGCTCGTTGACTGCAGAACTGTTATTACCGTTCATCAATTATTTCCACCTACTTTTAAAAGCATCATGATAAGGCCTTTCTCATCAAAGAAATCAAATGGCAACTGTCTAATAAGTCTTTCCCTAAGACAACACTGACAAGATGACACAGTCTGAAGGGTTGAAATTTTAAGTTTGGTGGGTGAAAAATATAAGAAGTAAAAGTTATAAAAAATACATGGTAGAAACATGATGCTTTAAGAACTAAATTATGCTTTTAGTTTTCTTGATGTGATAGGTGGTGGGAATCAACAACTCTGCTTTCCCATCAGTTTGTCAGTCCAAGGTTATCACAAATTTTTGCAATTTTAGACCATTTGAGTACCCTCAGAGCACAACAGGAATTCAGTACTGAATGAAACCAAGCACCACATACACAGAACTACAGGCCAATTGCATTACAGAAGAGCATGATTCAGAGTCCCAGACAGGTTTATGAGGTTGAAAAGTCAAACTGAAAAATGTACATAAAACAGCCCAATACCCAGTCTCACTTTCTTACATTGAAAAAGTCAGAAGACAATGGTTTTATAAAACTTGACAAATATCTCAGAAAAGCGGGTATTGGGAGAGATCCTTGTGTGCATCCTAAATGCATATCCCTCAGTCTAGAAGTCCTAACACCCGGGTGCTTATCTGCCAATGTGTCAAGTCCAAGGTAAGCCAAAACCCAGTGTATATACAGTGTAGGACAACTGAGATTCTGACACAAACATAAGATTGAAAAATCTCTGGTTTTGAGAGTTGTCACACTCTCAAAGACTTCTTGAATAATGAAAATCCAGTCTATTAGGGAACTAGAAGATAGCACAAATGCTGGAGAATTCAATGCACAACAATATTAAGAAAAGTAAAGAGATTTAGTGATAAATCACAAACAGCAGATGATGTCTCTTGGATCTGGAGAGGATTCACTGATTCATGACTAACATGTGTGAATTCTAGAGAGGTAAAGAGATATAGTGATAAATCACAAAGAGCAGATGATGTTTCTTGGATCTAGAGAGGATTCAGTGATTCATGACTAGCAATTATGAATTCTACACTGAACAAATTACCTGAAACTAAAATAAAGTTTTAACTATATAACTAAACTGAAAGGGGAGATTCAACTAGATACTAGGAAGAAATTCTTTCCTGTGAGGGTGGTGAGGCACTGGAACAGGTTGCCCAGAGAAGTTGTGGATGCCCCATCCCTGGAGGTGTTCAAGACCAGGCTGGATGGGGCTTTGAGCAACCTGGTCTGGTGGGAGGTGTCCCTGCCCAGGGCAGGGGGGTTGGAACTCGATGATCCTTAAGATGCCTTCCAACTCTAACCATTCTATGATTTTAACCACATAAACCCGACAAAATTACAGGATTCAGTTCTTTCTGTGGAAGGAAATCCTCTCTCACCAAATTGGTAGTGTTCTCTGAAGAAGCCAATGAGCACATAGAAACTCTTTTAAAAAGCTCTTACAGCAATGAAGTCTCTTCAGGATAGAAAGGAATCACCCTTGTGAATGAATAGTCATCATGTGTACTGTAAGTACTGAAGCTGAAAAGTGCAGGGGTACAGATGAAAATAGGAAGCAAAGGCCATGTTGGTTTTGTGATAATCAAATACTAGTTAATCGGTATTGTAAGATCCCACTAAATCATTTTGCAGCTGGAGAGTAAGAAATTACATTCAGCCAAAGTATTTTGCTAAATATGAAGCACAAAAACCGATCAGAAGGAAGGGAAAAGGCAACAAGATACTGATTTCACCAGCAGCGAGACACTGATCTCTGCACATAACACAACTATTCCTAGAAGTATAATTTTTTCCTCTCTGACTTCTCATTTTCTTCCTCCAACTTCATGGAAGAGGGCATACCATGGGGAAATTACATGTCACATGGAGCTATGAAGGCGAGACGTTAGCAAGAATAGCTTTGGTTATGTACTTTCCTAAAGTACAAGCTAAATGTAACCACGTCTCATCTCTGATTCTTCAAAAGCTTATTATGCAGACAAGTATGCATTTAAGAAAAATGCCCATCTTGTCAAGTGGCATTAGTAACACACATTATTTTGCCTTTAAATGTGTAAATATTTTTCTGGTAATTCCAATAGACTCTAAGAAAAACTATTAAAGCAATCAGCGTACAATTTCATGTTACGCATGGATGGTTGTTTTCTGACAGAAGCAAAATTCTGACTTCTCTCACAGCACCCCACAAAAAAGAAATAGCAAATAGTGTAAAATGAATCTTGACTCTTTTATCTTTCTAGGATTAAGGGTAGAAGTATTGGAATAGTATGACAGCAAGTTGAAGGAAGAACAACAAAGAAAAGACTTAGACCAAAACAGGAGCTAAGATGACATGAAAGGCTTCAAACATTCCCTTTTAATTGAAATGTTCTGCAATTAAAGCCAATTTTGATAATGGAGAGCATTATGGGTTTCACTCACATTTTATTCATTCTTTCTTTTTATCTTAGGCAGAGATAGGACTCTTTTTACTCCTTCGTACTGCCAGAAATCCCAGACAAAAACCCAAACCTTTGATTACAATGAACACATCCAAATTTGGCAAATGTTACCCTTGATAGGCTACCTCTAAGGATAACCTTTAGAAATGTGGTCATATTCTTTAGAGCCTCCTGTTTGTAAACCTTAACCCTCTTAAGACTGATTTAGTTATCAGAAGGAATTAAACAAGATGTAACTTCCAGTCTCTGCTTCTTACATCCTTCCTGACCTCCAGCAAGATGTACCTGGACCTGCCCACTGTAATATGGGATGAATCCCACTGGTCTCAGGCCATGGGCTGATGGCTTTTTCTGTATCCAGCAGAGCTTAGAGAAGTCATCACTGTTACTCATCATGTTCATACCAGAGTTGAGCCCCACTGAATGATGTGGGAAGAGAGAACGTAAGCAATCCATACTTCTCTAGCTACAATAACCTGGTTATCATATGCAGTTTAAGCAGATGGTGGTCTTCGCTGGCCCTACCAACTCTGGCCAGCTGTGCAGCAGAGCTGGGAATATGGGGATTTCTAGCTAAGATGAAATGACAAGTAATTTGTCTTTTTTTTTTTTTAACAGACGCAGAAAAGTCCATGACTATATAAAACCATGATGGCAGTTAGCTATTCTAGTCCCACCCCCAGGGAAAAAAAGGTCCTGCACGTACCTCAGTTCCATTACAACCAGCTTGGTTTAAAATTAAACAATTTATTTGCAACTGCTATTCCCTGAAAGAACCTCAGTCTGGGGACTGGAACACTCTCCCCTCCACACTGTTTCTCTAATGACTGATTAGACCCAGCAGTGACACGTGTATTCTGTGGAGATTACACTTTTTGTTAATTGGCCATGTTCAATATAAAGAAAAGGAGCAGAATAAATAGATTAGTCTGATTCCATACCAGCCATGGCAGATGAAAAGAGCACTGAACAGGGAAAATGAAGGAAACATGAAATAAGCAAATTACACAGACACAAGATTAGTTCAGGCTTTCTGTTGATCACAAGAATTGGATTTTATCACTCCAGATAAGACATCCCACACTGTCATCGATTCAAAGCCTATCTGCAGTGATTGCATTTCTGTACCAGTGCTTATGGGCGTGACGGCAGTTACAGGCTGCAAATTACAGTTTTAATGTGCTTGAGGTTCCAAGCATACAGTAAGCATTTTAATATGGCCAGGTATTAAGTCATACATCTTGGAAAAAACAAGGCAGACAATACTTATAGAAACTGAACAGTGACTTGAAAAGCAGCAGTTCTAAAAAAATAACACAAGGGGCTTGGCTGAGAAGTTGTCTGAACACAAGTTCCAATGGTGAAAAGGGGATATGCCTACCAATGCATACAGTATTTCCTTTCAGTTTGGTGCTGGTACGGCCCACGTGCCCTTTGCTAACATTCACATTTCAAGAGGAATGTGAATAATCGTGAAAAGGTTCAGACAAAACAGACACATGAGAACACTTAAGGATTAGAGAGCACAAAGCTCTCAGTGGCTCACATACACAGGCTTTTCAGGAGATGACTGCGGTTACTTTCACCGCAACCTATATATTCCCACTGGGAAACAGAACAGAACGATCATCAGTCCAGTAGAGAAAGTCTATAACTGCTACTAAGACTGAAAACTACCATTTGGAAACCTGCACCAGAAATAATGCAAAGTCTTATGGGAGAAGGCAATTACTCAAGGATTTTACCAGAGGAAGTAGTAGGGTTTCCATCGTGTGCTATTTAAAAATCAAGATGGGATGTTCTTTTCCAAAAAAGCCATGTTTTTGTCTTAATCAGCCCATGAATATCCTGTGTGTCATACAGAATCTCAGACTAGGCAATCACAAATCTCCCCTCTGGGCATATAAGCTATTAATATATATTTCTGAATTCATGCAGACTGAATAAACCGAGACAGATATATATGTCAGTGAAAAGAAATCCCCTGGTGACTAAGCAACTATCTTGTTCCTTAAATCCAACTAGTACTCAACAGGTTGTTCTGCTGATATGCACTACAAATCAGGTCAGGAAGTATAGATTATTATTACATGCAACTGTTCCTGAGAGACTGATAACGAGATCAGGAACTAAAAGTACAAAAGCCTCAGCCAGAAGAGACTGGAATGAAAGGATCCCCGCTCTGCCCCAGCATTTGCAGACAAGAAGAGCCGTCAGACAGAGGCATACTGACTTGTCCTGTAACACGAGTCAAACAGAATAACTGTCACAGCATTTACTATGATTTAAAGCAAAATTTCCTTTTAAGACACAGATTACATGGCTTAGTGCAATAACCCCCAATATAAACCTGAGAGATCACAATCAAACATGCACAGCTAATATACATCTTTTTCTCAGCACAGTAGCCAAGAAGGATTCAACTCTTTTTGCCACCATTGACGACATTCTCCCATTTCTCACAAGTTTTTGTTTTGTTTTGTCTCACATTTACTTGCAGCTATCATTTTTCAAGAATTTATTCTGTATGATCACAGATATCAGATTAAGTGTGGCTTCTGTGGTTCAGAAAACTGTGCAAGACTGATATTCTCACGCCAACGAAGAGATAAGGAAGGAAAATGTGAGACACAGGTGCTGTCACTGTCATGTTGTTTGGTCCTACGTATGGTACAGCACATACTGATCAGTTCCTTTTTCAGTTCACAAGAGGCTTAAAATAAGGTCTTTTTAGGCAGGAGGGGAGGCACACAGGGTATATGGGCACACAGAGCTAGAGGTAACTTGGGAGAAATCCAGTTATTAGTAAATAAACTCTTTTCTTTAAAAACTGCATGAGAGAGCAGCTTGGAAGAAGGGGTTCCAGAAAAGGACAGGGGACAAAAAGCAGAGACCACTGTGAGCTTAACAACACAATATACTTTAATTTGGTGAAAATATGACTAAACCTCAGTGTTGTTATTCTACAGCTTTTGTCTGCAGATGGGAGACAACGCAGCAATTGCAATATTGAAGAAACAAAACTGATATTATTACGGGGAGATAAAATGAGATTGAACACTTCTTCAGTCTTTAGGGAAACACAATTTCCAGTTCAAAATGCAGCACATCTTTGGTTGTAGATATAAGAAAAGAAGTAATTGAAAGAAACATTTGCTTATGACTGATTAAAGTTCACAAAGCCTTTGACACCTTCAATTTCCCATTGCTTTTAACAGCTTCTGCATTTTCCAAGATTATTGTGATATCAAGATTATAAACATTTTTTATTCTACCAGAAAGGTGTACATAAACAGCAAAGGATCCACATTAATCTAGATAGAAGTTTCCTCATCAAAGAGACTTAAAAAAATGTTCAATGTAATTATTTTAAAATGATTATTTTCAGAAAAAAGAACTTAATAGATTCAGAGAGAAGGGATACTTTTAAATTTAGATTGCTCTATTCATTGATAAAAATAAATTTGTTCAAGTATACAAGCATAGAAAACTCACCTTCCAGAAATTATCTACTTTGCCATAAACGAGAGATTGATTCTGCCTTTTGATGTCATTAATGTGTTTAATGTCACTGGAATTCAGATGCTGTTCTACCACAAATCCAAGGAAGCTGTTATCTGGAGTGTGAGCTGTAAGAAATGGAGCAGATTCAAAACCTTTTAAAGTATCAGTTAATGGTACAAAAGCACAAATGTTGTCAGAAAAATAGATATAAGGAAAAAATTATTCAACAAGCACTTCCTTCACATTCAGACTGAGAGATACATTTGCTTCCTTATTATTGAGAATAGTTCATATTTATTTTAAGTCCTGCTGCATATGTCTACTGAAGTAAGCAGTTATTTTCTGGCTTGTTTCTGACAATAAAAATTCTGTAGCTGGACCAAGGCCAACGATAATGATTTTTTGTGTGCTGAGCTTTATTTTATTATCAGAGATAACAGAACGAGAGATAAGAGAATCCAGCTTGACAATCTCAGAGATGCAATGCCAACAAGTCAAAAAAACCCTGGATTTAGGCTTGTTAGCAAAGCTGTATGTTGATCAATGTCATAAATACATGTTAGTAAATTTCTTGGGTTCACCTTCCGTATTGGAAAAGCAAACAGCAACCATCTAACTCACTGCCTATTATGTATCCATGCTAATTACTAGCCTACAAAGTCACACTATCCAGATCCAAATACAAATTTCACTGCCTAATTCACTCAGATATACCTATCAGAAAACACTAAAAAGGTGACAACTGAAGTTGGCAAAATTTTTGTTAATCCAGCGTCCAGACAAACATAGTGCATGCAAAGGATATACAATTTACTCTCAGTTTTCTGTTATTTTTAGCCTCTGTTGGCCTTTTTCCAGCAGTGACATCCAGCAATACCAGCCACTGTTCTCCTCCTATAAAGACACAGGGCTATAAACTCATAAAAGTTATGTGGGTTTTATTGGTTTTTTTGTTGTTTTGTTGTTGTTTTTTTTCCTTTTTCTCGACAGGGTGTTTAATTCCAGGGATGGACTCCAACATTGAAGGCTTCAGGTAAAAATCAATCCCTACTATATAAAAAATACTCCAACATGTCAGATTTTTGTGCCTCTCCAAAACGTGTCATAACCTCAGAAGTTTACATAGAAATACGCTGCAATAAACACTAGGATCTCCTCTAGAATCCTCCCATCTGGCCTTCTGTGCCCTTCTGGCACACAAGCTGACAACTTCTTACTAAGCACATTTTGCAAATTTAACAAACAAACAAAGCCCCAAGGACAAAGCCCCAGGCACTTACGATACCATGCGATGCTAAATCTATAGTCAGAGTTATTAAAAAAAATAAAATTCTATTGAAGTTATGAGGTTTTGCTTTTTGCTTCCTGAAAAATCAGCCAACTGGATAATGCAGTGGAACAGAGAAACCATACAGAGCACACACTCCCCTTTGCCATTACATTTAGTCTTTCAAATGACAATTACTCCTTTGCACAAAAAAATGCCTCAGCAACAGCTCGGCACTCACTCAGACCCAAGGACTTTTTAGAATTTAACACAGCAAATGGCACGCTGCAAATATGCCTGAAAAGGGGCATTTTTCCATCCTTTCATATTTTTGGATGAGAGATTGCATTCAAAGGAGAGGCAAGGCAGTGCACACTCAAAAGAAAAATAAACCTTTGTTAAAGTTAGCACTTAGAGCTGGTGGAATTCAGTGCCTCAAACATCGCTGACAGGAAGCATTCAGATGGGTTTTTTATTAAAAAGTACTAGTGCTGCTATTTTGCATAAAAGACTAAATGAAAAAAAAACATAAAAAGGGGGAAAAAGCATTTGGTAATATGCCACAGGTTTGAATATGTCTTGCTTGTTGCTCAGCAATAATTTTCTGCCCTTATAATCAGAGTTCTCAAAACATAATAGAGTCTGGGGATCTTGGGAAGCTGTCCAGGCTTCCAGTCTGTCATAAAATCTTTGCTGATGCAAAACACGCACTTTTCATCACAACCCCATAAAGATGGTGCTACCTCTGCAGCACAGACAAAAAACCAAACCAAAATTAACTTTAAATATCACAAAACACGCAGACTCTTCTGCACCTAGTGCAAAAAGAAGCCAAATCCTTGAATAATCTCTAGCACTGGAAGCACTCCTGCTTCAGAATGAGTTTGCTATTTACCACTTCACCTGCAAATGAAACCTGCAGCCATTTCCAGAGGTAAAAATTCGAAACGGTTATTTATTGAAATTCCAATACAGTCACACTATTCTGAAGATTCGTTATGAAGTGATTTACCCCAAACAAGAGACCATAACAGCAGTCTATATTACCACGACAGAGACCTTCTCTATCGAGAAGGTTTAGTTTCTTCTGCATCTCATGGGGAGGGACTGAGGAGTGCACACACGGAGCACACGGCTGTACCACAACTATTCATCCAACCATTTTTCAAGTGCACCATCACCCTTGGTGCTACCTTGAACAGGACCTTACACACAAATTCCCCAACAGCTGAGCTACTGAAACACGGCAAAACTGAGCTTTCAGCTTCTTTTTCGTTTAGGATATAAACCAACAAACATTAGCAAATCGTGTGGGTCCAGAACAAGCTCTGCTTACTGCTGTCCAGGCACAAACTCTGCAACCACTTCCAAGTCACATTTCCCCACCACACGTTTTGTGACTTGCTTCAAAACAACTGTGAATGCAGTCTTTTATCTTTTGAACAGCCTTCACTTATATTTGTCTGGAAAAAGTTGCACAGAAAATGTTGACAGACAAAATAGGCCCCTCTCAAGAATTTTACAGGGCAACTGGAATCAAAAGCATGTCAACCAGGCAGTGGCACGTATAATTCTGCTACCAAATGCAGAAAAGTTTGAAGGACTTGACTATGAAAAGTCTGATGAGAGAGAACAGTGCACACTCTGGTCTTAGTCTCAGACAGGGACCACCATCAAACTCTGGAGGTCAGGCTGGTCACTACTAAGGGCTTCTTTAAAGGCTTGGGCTGAGAAGGTGCTGCACACAAGAGCACACACCTTCCTCTTCCCTGAGCTCCACTTAAGTGCTTGTTTCTCAATAGCTTTGTACAGTGCTGGCAAATAAACGTGAAGCAGTTCACCTCAGGATGGATGCTCGCAACGTGAAAAGCAGCCAGGTGAAAAAATTGAGAAATACACACAAAAAAGTAGACACAAAAAAAAATTTTGCAGACAAAAAATTAGCTATTAATCTAGAGTGCAAAAATTAGCGAAGGAATTGCACTGCTCGGTTGTTGGGAGGAAAAACGCAGAAATACAACAACGTAGTTAACATAGCTACAAACTTCAGTTTATCATAATGAAATGCAAGAGTGCAATTTGGAAAAATGCAACCTAACCAGTTCCTCAAAAACCTATTGCTACACAGCAGGATTTGAGAATGCAAAACAAACAAAAGCAAACTCACTGACACTTGAAGGAAAATCCAATCACTACTTTCCACAAATACCTTGAGAATAAAGCTCCCTACCATTATTTACATTAAGCTGATGCTGTTATTTTCCAATTGCTGGATCAAAGCATGATAAGAGCTTTTGCGTAGTCTACAGACACTTATTGACACTTACGATTCTGCCCCTTTAGTAGCTGCATTTTAGTAATCCATGAACTTGCCTTTCAGAATACAAAACTTCTTCTCAATGCAAGCATTCCTTCTTAAAGCTTCAAACTATTTATTAATAAAGGGATACTTACGGAACATTGTATAAAACTGCTGTGGATTAAGGTTCCACTTTCCCCATGGTGTCTTGTGGCCTTTAGACTGGGCATAATGGGCATGGTTAAACTCTGGTTCAGTTCCAAAGGAATCCAAAACTCTTAGCATACACCTAAAAGAGAAAAAATAATTTACTGTAGGTACACATGCATAAATATATATAAGCATGTATGTGTATATATACATAGTTATGATAATTAAGAGGTGTTTTGGTTTTGTTTGCACCTGTGGATGATTTATAAACTGAAGGTACATTTTAATTTCAAACATTTCTGTTCACGTTACATTCACAAAGACATTATGATCAGCAAATTCAAAGCTATTTCAGACATTCACATAGCAACCCCGGAGCTTATTTTGGGTTTCTTTGTTCTTACAGAATGAAGTTATGCTTTAACATCCAAGTAGAGTTTCTGGGAATACTGCTGTGGTCACCTACATTCCTGGGGTTCTGAAGGAGAATTTAGGCAGAAGAAGAGAGGATTCCTCATCTGTTTTCTAATGTTCTCACCCATTACCACAAAATCAAATAAAACAGCCAAGGGCCACATGCCAAAAAGATCAAGAGCAGAACAGTACTTTGTCTTTAGACAATTTTAGTCTCCAGGTTCTGACTTTGGGGTCAATTAGACCTACTGGAGCACTGAAAACAGTTTAATTTGCTGAATGCTTGCATTCAGACAGACCATTTATTTGTTTATGAAACATTTTGTCACAAACTTTTGAAGAAGAAATGTAAAAGTCAAATGTCTGCAACAACCAGTCTACAACTGAAAGAAACCTTGGCATTGGATTACAAAGGGTCTGGGATGTCAGAGTCACACTCAGTCCTTTATATAAACTCCTATTAATTCCTTGGGAAAAAAAAATCCTTCATTTATGAGTGGCTCCTTTCAAAAAAGGTACACGAGAGGCACAAAAAGTCTCAGTATGAGAAAGGCAGCACACATTCTAGCATACAGATTCTAGAAGTTATGTTTCCAAAACATAGCCTGCCAAACCTTGGTATGGCTTGGACAGGAGCTTTATGGCCGTCACACTGACCATTGGCTCCACTGCAAATGAACTGGATTATGCGGTTCCACAGCTGCTGACCCTACACCATTCTTCAGCCCTCCACAAACAAAATTTCCAGAAAAAACTTACATAGGATGTGTTCCTACATCACATGCCAATATGTTATGAAGACATGAACTCTTACCACTGCACATTGTATCACTGGGCTTGTATGTGCTAAGGAAGGGACACAACCTTCGGGTGGCAGAAAAGGGAGGTAGATGCAAAAATGACTATTAAATATGGCTACATTTAGTAATCTTCAACATTTCCCATGCTCCAAGTCCATAGGCGTTCTGTTCAGTAAAACACTAGGATTTTAGCTTTAAATGGGAAGGAAAGAATTTAGCCTCCAAAAGGTGAAAGAACTTAGCTCCAATCATTTTGCAGCTTTAAAAGATGAAAGAATTTAGTCCCAAGAACACATTTACATATTTCTTATGTTCCTCCTTTCTCTAAAGTACCCATTAACTTCGAAAATACAAAAAACCCAGCAACTTTTAAACTCTCATATGAAATGCCACCTTTGCATTTGGAAGTACAAATAGAGCAAATTTACTTTTATTCTAATCTTCACAGAGATCTTTCAAGCAAAAAGAAAGTCAAAATATACAACACATTATGATTCACCAAACAACAAAGCTGACAGATCAGTTTCTGTGCAGTGTTTTATGTCAACTGTTCTCAATGAAAATATTTTACAACAGTGGCAATTATCTCTGCATCACACAAAATACTCCAGCAGGACCAAAACAACTTCTGCACCGATGAATCATTCAGTAATAAAAGCCCTCTTATTTCTTGGCAGGCCTTAAAACAAAATTCTTATCAAATATACAGCTTTTGGGCAGGTACTTGAGTACAGGGGAATGAAAAATGAGTGAAAGCTCCTGAAAAACGACAACATTACTGGAGTTTGTCAAATTATGTATGTAAGGAGCACTACATCGCATGCGATCATCTCCAAGTGCTTTGTTTCCTCTCTTTTTCCTGTATTGGGAGGTAGGGTGTGTTGCACTAATTGTTCACAGGGATACATGTAACTGTGTCCAATCCACACGGAGTCTCTGAAGCAGGACAGGAAACGTGATGCAAGGGAAACTAAGCTAAACCAGGAAGCAGGGAAAACAAACAAAAAAAAAATTTGCAGGATTCCGGCATAAAGCAAGTTGGAAAAGAGAAAAAGATCACAGCAGAAAGTGCAAGGGTGTGCAGAAACGGTATGAGAGGATCAAATATTCTCCATTTGCTTCACTTAGCAATTTAAATTTCTTTCAACTGAACTATTTTGAAACAACATTTTGATTTTACATAGAATGTTTTAGCATTTCTGAAGTGAAATAATTCATTTTCAAAATGGCAAACCAGTATGTTTTTTAAAGCAGAGATACATTTTAAATACAAATGTTAATTTAGTGTGATTTTACCTTTTCCAACGCTCTGCCACCCTCAAAGAAGTTCTTCCTCATGTTTAGGTGGAACTTCTTATGTTCAAGTTTGTGCCCATTTTCTCTTGTCCTGTCACTGGGCACCACTGAAAAAAGACTGGCCCTATCCTCTTGACACCCACCCTTTATATGTTTTGATCAGATCCCCCTTCAGTCTTCTCTTCTCCAGACTAAAAAGACCCAAGTCCCTCAGCCTTTCCTCATAAGAGAGGTCCTCCAGGCCCCTCATCATCTTTGTAGTCCTCTGCTGCACCCTCTGCAGCAGTTCCATGTCTTTCTTGAACTGGGGACCCCAAAACTGGACACAGTACTCCAGATGGGGCCTCGCCAGAGCAGAGTAGAGGGGAAGGATAACCTCCTTCGACCTGCTGGCCACACTCTTCCTGATGCACCCCAGGATGCCATTGGTCTTCTTGGCCCCAAGAGCACATTGCTGGCTCAAGGTCATCCTGTTGCCCACCAGGACTCCCAGGTCTTTTTCCGCATGACCTGCTCTCCAGCCCCCAGCCTGGAAGCAAGCTGGGCAAAACCCAACTAATTCTGGTTTGGAAGCTTTGTAAGTGCATTGAGCCCAGGCACAGGAACATAACAGCACAGCTATACAAAATCCAGGGTGCTTTGGCTTATGTCCAGCCAGGTCGGATCATGACCAGGTCATATCTGCCTATAGAAATCCTTGCAGATGCACACATTAACTTAGTTTCAGGTCACTCCGTACTCGCATTTAAAATGTAAAAGCTAAGTCAGAAAATAACCCTTCTAAACCAGACGTATTCTAGAGGACTTGTAAGAAGCAGGAATGTTGTTCATTTTTCAGGATAGCTGTCACCTTAATTTATTTCAAGGATAAAGCCAGTTGGATTTCTGGCATATGGGAATGAGTCATTGCTGGAGAGACTGTAGAAAAATGAAAAAAATACCAGATTCTTATGTGCTGTATGGAGGATGCGGGTGCTAAGAAAGGCAATGAGCTGCACTCCTCAAACTATATTAAGCTACTAATTTTTATGTTGCTTCATTGCACATAAACTGCGTTCAAGTATCCAGACTTCAGAACTGAAAAATACAGCATGATCAAGCATTCTTCTGCTTGAAAATAAGGTGCACTCAAAAATGAGATCTGTTTTGCTGTACTCATGCCATTTAGAGCACCAATTATAGCACAGATAAGGCATGGACTACCAAGAGTCACTGGTGCTAGAGATCTCAGAGGTACAAAACAGTATTTCAGTTGTTCAGAAACACTCACCCCTCAGAGCAGCAGGGCCATTCTTTTGAGCTAGCAGTTCTAGAAACCTGATTTGCAATTACCAAAAATTTCCTCAGGGGCCAGGTTCACTCACAAAGATTTATAAAGGACGCTCTTAACAAGAGACTGTTCTAAAGGCATAGGTGTATTTTACCACTCTCTTCATATCTGAAGTAAATATACAGGTTTTTATTTGTATTTGAGTCTGGTCTGCATAAACCAGACTGAGCAGACGAGAAAAAAATATATAGCATAAAACAGAACACTTCTTTCAAGACAAAGAATTATTCCTACAGACAACAAATGCAACTGAGTGAGAAAGTAAAGTTTGTAAAGAACAAGGGTTACAAGGCAGCTTTTTTGGTGATAATGTTTATGTTACTGGAATGGGGTAAACAAAGACATGTAATTATGGTCTTACACTGGACGTATTAGTTAGACTTTATTAGTCTTATTACAAGAGGACCCTCAAACAGGAGATAGCTTGCATGAAGCTATGACTTAATTCTTCTGCTCTGATCAATTCCAGTAGTCTCTGGACCCCATTTTGTACACTGACCTTGAGGAACAGTGTCAAGTTATTAGAGAGATTCCCAACAAATGCAACAAGCTTGATGAAAGATCTACAAAACCTGAATTATAAGGAATGATCCAAAACTCTAAATTTGTTTTGAAGAAAAGCAAACCAAAGGAAAATCGGTATATAAGATGTTCTAGAGGCTGGCAAAGAGGGGAAGGAAGTAATTTACTCTCCACAACCATAATAGAATAAGCAATAACAGGCAGTTTGCAAGAAATTGGACCAAGAAAAACACTTTCAAGAAAATCTTAACAACATAAAAAAATGGCTGGGGCGTCTTTTGGAATCTTCAGTAAAAGATGAGGCAAAAATCTCTGAACAAGGTCAAATAGATCCAATCTGCTTCTCAGTAAAAGCATGGACTAGATGAGGTCTTCTTCCATCCCATGAAATCCAATGGTGTAGGAGAGAGGCATTAATCAATTTTTTTTTCTTTGTCAAAAGGCTAACAAAAACTCCTTTACTATCCTAACGTATTTATTTAAACCAGAAAAAGTCATTATGGCAAATTAGGTATCAATGAAAAAGAGATCGACAACTTATGATTTAATGATTCATGAAATAAGCACGAAAAATTGAAGAGCTAATCTAATAATCTCAATGTCATGGTGTATTTCCATATCTCCATTACAGAATATACCACGTGGGAAACCAAAAGCAAAAGGAAGGAAACATTTTAAATTTGTAAGTATGGTTTTATATCCTGACCACAATACTGTATGTGACTGCCTAGTGACAATTACATCTGGCAGACAGACAACCAACTGTAGCTCAGTGGAAAATGGGATTATCTTTATTAGCAAGCTCCTAAAAACCAGAATATCCGTTTACTCCTCTGCTTCAAAAAAGAGATTAAGAGTAATCTAATCTGCAACACTGAACACAGTACTTTCATTTAAAATTACCCTGAAAAGATCCGATGCTCTAGAAAACTCTGAGGTAGAAAGAAAACAATTTTTCTGCCTGCAGTGAACACCTTTCAATACCTTCCTTCAAGTAGGATTTACTGAACTTTACAGATCATGAAGCACAGCTAATTCAATTAGGTATAGAAAAAAATCAAAGTCATTAATTTAGATTTGGTTTTATTTCATGCTGATACGTATTCATACAACACATGGGAGCCCTGCTGATTTCAAGTTATTGACAAAAAGAAATGTGGTTCTAAAACTGTGGACACTAAGGCAGTTGTATAAAGTAATTTCTTGTCACTGCCATCTTCCATTTCTAATGGAAAGACATTTATAGATTACAGAAGTAACAACAACTACAATTACCAGATTCATTCTTTAGATCTACCCCTGAAGACAACTCTCTGCCCAGCATCTTAAGGGATGGAAGAGAAAACATTGTGGGTTTTGGGTAATGCAATTAAAATAGATAAATCTCCCCGATCATCAATAGAGTAGGGCTACAAACACTGACAAGAAAAACATGCCTTTGGAATTCCAACTAAACAACAAAATCCAATAATCTCTCAGCTCACCTAATAATTTACAGAGCAAAGTGTGGGGATGACGGGAAATTTAAAGAAGGGAGGGAAAGAAAGGCAAAGATGATGAGTCAGCAATATAATATAATTCATCAAGATTAAAAATGTTTGAATCCAAGAATCCCAAACTTGCTGGGGAGGATGAAGATGGTATGCAACAAATAGGTAATAGCCCCTATTCCTAAGAGTGAAATACAACAGAGAACCACATTTTTAGTTTTAAATAAATTCAAATTCACATAGATGCACTCATCTCAGTATTTTAACATGTGTTAAATGTTAAACACAAAAGCTCTTTAATGAAACAGTTAAGAGAGGTCAAATAAGCGTTATACTTACTGGTAATGTACCCATGATGGACCAAGGGTTTTCTTAAACTGAGTCAGTCCCACAATATCAATGTAAATGAGTTCTACAACTTTATCCCCCTGGGTGGGGCAGCCAGATCTGTTACCTACAACTTTCTTCATAATCCTAAATAAAGAAAGAAGGAATATGGAAAAATAAAATTTTCTAAATACCTTGAATAGATGTGGTAATACTATATTTACCAATAACTCCCCTTTCCAAAAAAGTCTTACTCTTATCTTTTCCAAATCAGGAATCATGTGAGTACATTGAAGTGCTAGATATGTTCAGCATTTATTGAAGAACTGTTTATACATCAGTAAAATTTTCACTAAAAACCTCATCTAGTTTAAACAGGAGAGCAATATGTTTGGATATATTTAAAAATAGTGTGTTTTGGAATAATTTGAAATAATTTCTGACACCTATTGACACCTTTATATTATAAGAGTGCTCTATAAAACGATGCTGTCATGTTTGTTATAAAAAAAATGAAAGCTATGGAAAGTGTATGTGCTCAAGCTTAAAACTGATGTTTTATTCCTAATGCTCAACTAGTATGGCAAAGTAAGACAAAGATAAGTGAGGCAGAAATTTGACCTAATGTAAGCAATTAGCTACATCAAAAATAATGTGTTTAAAGGATTTAAACTTTCATTTTAAAATGAGATACTGAGTAAAGAATAGCAAAAACTGAAGAAGAGGACATTGAATTAGGCTAGTCTGTAACACTTCCTATTGCAGCTGGTTAAAGCACCTGGAATGTTAAAGAATAAGCTGCTTAGTTTGAATTTTACAACATTCATTTATGAAGTCTCAGGAGCCTGAAGCTACAATGAAAACACATTATCCTTTTCATAGCACATATACTCAGCTCATGAAAATAATCTTATCGTCTGTTTAGTGAATTATCACTTTCATTTTACGCTTCAAGAAATTATATACCGTTAATAGAAGCTTCAAGAGTTTACAATTCCTTTTTTTTTTTTATTATTCCAGTTTCAAAAGTGAAAGTAATCTCCTTACTCCTTGAGCTCTGCCAGTGAAGCTGAAATCCTGATGTCATGGCCCAGTAAGTAGAGAGATGTAATTAAATCACTCCACTGGACTAATTCACCAAGCGGGCCACCGCTAAACGCATTTTCTGCAATCTTGAATCCAGATTCCTTTGTCAAAAGCCCCAGATGAACAAGAATCTGGAAAGCAAAGTCATATGTTAGAGTTAGCGACATTAAACATGCAACTATTATACCTCACAGCATTTTTTTCTTTCTATTAAACTCCAACTACGGGCAAAAAATCAACCAAAAAAATCCAGTACTCCCATCCCAATAATTTAATTTTGCAACGGATCTCTAGAACATTAATTATAAGAATGTTACTGCATTGTTTTGAACTATTATCGGCCACCAGATCAGAAATTAAACAAACCCCCAAAATCCGCATTATTGACAAAATAATCTGTAATTCTGCACAGAAAGCTGTGGCTCACATTAACATTTTGATTGAATAACCACTTGCATTCTCATGTAGGATATACTTGCTTATGCAAGACAGTGTAGTTAAGGAAGGGCACACTGCTGTGAAGAAGTCATCATTAGTAACTTGGAAAGGCTGCAGAGGAGTAACAGGATGCTTCTGAACCTCTCCTCTCCATTGCCACTGGAGAGAGTTTTCTCTGTAGTTTCTTGAAATCTGCGCTTGCCTTTCTAATGAAGCACAGAAATTGAGTTCCAAGTACTTCACTGCATACCTGGACTGTGATATGAGTGTGGGTACATGCAGTGTCAAGTATAAAAACTCCCAAACACCAAAAACCTTTTGCCCTCACTCTTTACAAAGAAGCAACATTCAAAAAACCATTTTTTTCTAATCTCTTGCAGCTCCCAGAACTGAACAGACAGAGTAACGTGAAATCGTCCTATGTTTTACAGAGCAACCTCAAAGGACTTTTAAAAGCAAAGAATAAGTCCTAGAGCTTCCTATCAAAACTGCCTGTGCAGGACAGCCCCACTCCTCTTTGTTCTTGAGTTTATGGATTCTCAGTTGTCACATTTCTTTAATAAAACAGGCTAGAGGGCTGCTCGAAAGAGAAGGGTTGGTCCTTGACAGAGGGTGAGCCTACTCAAGGATTTTAGTAGATTTTTAGTATCTGATAGACATCAGAACTGCAACATGGAACCTAGACCTCATGAGAGGACTGAGAATCTCAAGCAAGGAGCTGAGCTGCAGCCAGCCAGGGTGAAGAAAGGGTTGAACCACGACTGTGCCGTGGCCTGCTGTCACTCAAGACTGGTTCCAGTAAGAACAAGGCAGGAAGGGAAAACTGTTGTTGTGTTTACAACTTTTGGCTTTATATTAACTAGTTGAAGAAATTGAAAAAAAAAAAAAAGTCAAATAGAACTTTTCACTTCAAGAATCTCACGGTCTTTACATTGAACTCATTGCAGGAGGTCTAAACTGATCCAATTCACAGCTGGGGCCAACTTTAAGTCTACTCAACTCCAGAACAGAAATATTTCACCTAAAGTCTCTATTTTGGACAAAGAAGATGTACAACTGTTGTTTACTATGACTACATAAAACACTCCAGTGTCATGAGCTTGAACTAAATTCATAGTTTCTCCCTTTGGAAACTTCTACATAGTCTCATTTTTATCCATAATTAAAGAGGTTGACTCCTGGAACGTATGTGAAACTATTTGTAAAGCAAATACATATTGTAACAATAATTTCAAATAGCAAAATACTTGTGGTAAATACGGATGTTTATACATGAGCCTTTTAGACATACTTAGTATTTTCACTCTGAAGTCACTTTTGGAAAGGGAAGCTTAAAAGAACCTATATGACTGCAAGTGGCAGGAATAAAAAATGTTTTCGTTTACCTTTTTCCGTTTTCTCTTCTCCAAATTTTGTTTTTCAGCAAGTGATTTAATTGCTTCAATCCAGGTATCAGCCATTCGCCTGATGCGCAACATCATCCACCTGAATTCCTCATGTCGGGACATCATTTTGTAGAGATTATCAAAGTTGATACGGATTTCAGCCTTCAATTAAAGCATTAAAAAAACACCCAAAACATTAGTTATTCTTCAAATAGTGTACTTTCCAAAAGCAAAAAATCTTCTCAAATGTAAAGTTTGTGCTTTACACTACTCATTAAAAAAAATTAAATAAATAAAGATGCACTTCTAATGCTTAAGTTGAGATTTTAGTTCAAATATTTAAATCTTTAAACAGACATTTCGAAGCCACATAAACTACTCCTATTTTCATTAGTAGCATTTGGTAGCCTAATAATATGTTTGCAATGCTTCACAATGTATTTATCCTGCAGTGTAAGATTTAGTTTTGTTCGTGTGCTGCAAAATTAGGTTGAAGTATCTCTAAAACACAATATAAGATCAGAAGAGTGTGCTGCAGATTCATGTGTATCATGGACCTTCCGAATACAAGGAAGTCTCCTGTTATACCATTAAAGAAAAAACATTATACAATATAAATCTTAAAGGAAATATTCATTTTAAAGCTAGACTGATCTAAGAACAATTGATTTTACCAAATAAAATGACCTATATCTAAATTATGTAAACAATGTTCATATACAGTCCAGCAATTATCTGAAAATATCTAAAACATAATTAGGCTGTAAAGTTTTGAAACAACTCTGCATGCTGTAGAGTTTTTAAAGGAAAAAAATTAGGAGTAATCAAAATGTTACTACAAAACTGAAGTGTATATAATCCTCTTCCATTAAGGCATTCTTATATATAAGGCCCAGATTTACGGGACAAGAAAAAAAGGACACTTTCACATATGGTCACTTACTGCTGGCAAACAGTCTATGGATTTGTAATTTTTCTCAGTATTTGCATACAATATTTCATAAATTTAAACACAAAAATGTTTTTAATGGAAATCTACCACCAGGACTGCAGCGCAATATAATGACTGGAGAAAATACACGATGAACTACATATATAAGGATGTTGAGGGGCTGAGAAATAAAAATTTAGTCTGATTAGCATTTATGTGGCACAGGATTCCAGGATCTTTTGCATGAATCCCAATTACTGAATGATTTCTCATGTTTTAATGTTATACTTACCGCCATTTTTTCATCAGTTTCTTCATTAGGATTTTTTGCTCTCCAAGGTAAACGAGGACACCAATTTTCAACCTGCGAAACAATCACATGAAAATCAAACATTCCGTTCTAATTTCAGCTGGTCTACCATAGTCTCTTATTGCCTTGATATTACAGCTTTTATAGCTTAAATGAGGCACCAGCTGATGAGTAAGTCACTGCAAGGTAAAATTGCTTTTTGCAAGAAAAGCTTAAGACGACTTTTTGCAATTCAATGCCATTTTAACCTTGCAAATTTGCAACCAAAAGTGGCATTTAGGTATTCATTCATGATAATGAATACAGGAGATAAAACCCTTCCAAGTCAGAGGTCAGCTGTTGAATGCTCTAAATACTGTTTCTCTGAGCAGTTCCTAAATGTTTTCAAAAAGCACTAAGTTTTTTTATGCTCCTAGACCTTAAAAAAATACATATTTTGAAACATTTCCCATCTCCCTAGAGTATCTTTATAGAAAGGCAAAGCCTGATAAAACCCAAGGATCAAAGCCCTACCTTGTAGCAATCTAGACAAAAAGTTGACGGAAGACTAAAACCAAACCCATCCTATTTGAAGGCTATAAGTAAAATAAATATAACATAACTAAAAACATCCACAAGCACTAATAGCTGTAATCCTTAGAGAAACAGAATCAGTGCAAATGCAATACTTCTACTACTGTCTACTAGAAAAAAAGAATAAATACAACAGCAAAGGGGAGAAACAGCAAATGGATGCACATCACTGAAAGATCCTGTGCTCTCCCTGGGGATCTTGCTTGTCCTGCAGAATCTTTATTATTCATGTGCCTTAAGAAATTGCTTTGGGGAAAAAGAAATCTCACTGTTGGAGGCAAACCCATGTAAACAGAAACGTAACTGTACTGTCAAAATGGAGAAAAGCAAAAATTTATAAGCCCGTTAAGCTATCCCATCACTACCAATGAAGTTCACAACTCCCAGAGAATTAGAAGTCAGAGTTGCTCTTACGGTTCCTCCAGTCACAGATCTGTCAAAACACAATTTTAGCTTAATCATGCTGCAGTAAGCCTGAAGCATTAGAGATTAAAAGCTTAAGATCATACCAAATGATTGCCTAGAAGACCGATCACATGAAAATAAATTAATAGACATCATAACCTCATTAAAGAGAAGAAATGTATCAAGCTTAGGTTCCTCAGACAGATTATATAAAAGCATTAATTTGAATGCTTATGACTTAACCAACTCAACATATTTAATACAACATTTGAAAGCAGGGACTTGATCAATCTGGTTTGAAAACAGCGGTCCTCCAACTCTGGAAACATTCTAGAAATTGGAGCAATTAGCAATCCTAACATTTACAAACGTAAGTTGTGAAAACACTGCTAAAAAAGAGTTGCAAGCTCCATATTACACACCATGCACAAATTCTTTTTTTTTTTTAATAGTACAAATAATTTTGAATTATTCCTAGCATTAAAACTGATCTAAATTAAGATATGACATTTCAAGGACTACCGTACATGCCCCTTTTCTGGCTTCATGTATTTCACAATGCACCACCAGGCATCCTAAAGGAATTGAAAATTTTTCAGAGCTGCCAAGGACAGTCAGCTTCATGCCTCACTGACTGAAAAACAAATGTAGTTCTTTTCTGCTTTTAGAAAGATTCCTTCTAGTCTAAATTAAATTATAGTCATTCTAATCACAAATAAACAGCTAGGGAATAGACTCAAATGAATAACAGTGTACTCAGAGGGTGCAGCACTCATTTTTCCTTATTGATATTCAGTCAATCCCTCTTTTTTTGGGGAAGGCCAACTTAACTCACTGGAGGACTTTTAAATGGACACTCTTCAAAGTATGCCAGTTGTTTGGTTATTTTCAGGAGCAATAAATGCACTGTGAAGAACTCATAGGCATTCTCTTATAGAAAAAGGAAGAAATTTTACTTTTATGAGCCAACGGCTCACAAAGAGCTGTTAGATGGGGGATAACAATTAGCAAGAGCACCAATAAAGCAAAGATGAAGCAAATGTGTCAGACATACCATGGGAAGGGGAAAGAAGAAAAAAAACCTTATCATGTTAACATATTGACACTAAGGAAAGTGGGGATCAAGAGGAAAAATATTGACTGACAAACCAGCCAAACTAGGATTACTTTAATAGTGAATTTCAGGTATTAGGCAAAAAGATCAGGGGTATACATGCCCCTAAGATCCAAACAATATGACAGCAAAACCAGCCAAAACACTAATAGAAAATGTTGCTCAGATCATGAGATAATTCTGCAGATAATTAAAGAATTAACTGGAATTAATAAGTCATGGTTCCAAGAGAAATTGAGAGGAAGATCCAAATATGATTAGAGTGATGGCAGAGGACAGAACACGCAAAGACTTGACAACACACCAGAAGACTCTTTTAGATCATATAATCGATATTGTTGGGTAGATACAGAGTGAAGAAAGCAAGAAGTGAAAAACTAGAGCAGGGAAATCTACACAATTCATAACATATGTATTGAGAGTTGCCCACTACTCAAGAAATACCACACTTCCAACAAAAATAAGATTTTTGGAGGGAACAAAGATATTTCTCTCCATCTCTGGTTCTTGCTCCTTTGTTGAACAGATGATCAACATCTATCTGTGGTTTGGTGAAGGGAAGAGGGGGTTCAACCTACACAACTACACAAGATAGCCAAGACTTGAGAAACAGCCTTTGTAGAACTATTGGAAAAGGAAACGATAGCACTGGCTTCTACTATTGAATTAAATAGCCTGCTGGTTTGATGGAACTTATACAAGATATCTAGCAGGCTGCTAAGTTTTATTGCTGCTCTCCTCAAAAAACACAGCAACTGCATTTTTATACGGATTTCAAGTAAAAAGCTTCCAGTTAACTGCGTTTTTGCATTGCACGATGTACAATTAAGGTCTCTAGCAGGACAAAGCCTCAGTAAAGACTCCTTAAAAATTCTGTAAAGAAACAGCACTCAATTTCTGTCAGAATTAAAAGCAGTTTGCACTAACCCAGATGAGTAGCAAAATGAACTTTGTATTCCTCTTTATTGAGCCCCATGTAACGATACACAGTAGTGCAAAATACACACGACTTCTGTTGTGATTAATTTAATTAACCATACCGTTGGCCTTTTTCAAGACAACCACTTTCTCCTCTGTCATGGAGGAGAAAGTGACCTTCCTCTTTTGCCCAGTGCACCAGGATTCAATTCAAACCGAGCACTTAAGCACTCCCTGAGCAGAACATGCAATCTCCCAACTTTAAGCCTAGGAACTACTTCTATTTACAGCTCTTGACAAGACCTACAGTTTCATGAGAGCTTCAGATGACCTAGAATGTGGGTGGGTGGGTTGTTTTGTTTGTTTTTTAAAGAACTAAGCATTGCCACTTCAGCTAATCACTTCAGGGTTTCTCATACAGAACACCACAAGGATGCCTATAACTAAATATGACTCTTAAGTGGTGAAGTAATTTTCCTGGTTCCCTTGCATAACCCAGATATAGTCCACAACAGCAACTCTAATTGTACTCATCATTTCTGAACAAGTCCTGCAGCTGTTATTCTCAGATTCAGACTACTAAACACTGCCATCAGAACTTTGAAAACAAAGGTGGGTGCTATAGTTATTGAAAAATGCAGGAGGATGCTTATGAAATTATCTTTTTCCAAGCAAATACCACTGAAAAGTTAATCCATTTTTCTCAGACTTATTGATGTGAAATAATGACAAGCCAGGTTTATTTCAGTGAGTTTATGTAGCTACCTCCATAAGGTTACGCTACATGGTAGTTTAGAAGTTCAAAATCCAAGTGCTACATAATTCCAGATATTAGTGAAAAGTTCGTGTTCCAAACTGCTTTGGGTTGTGAATGCCTAGATTCTGCTTAAACTGAACTCAAGAGTTTCTCTAGTCCCTTATTATAGACAGTCCACTCTCACAGTGACTTCATCTTTACATAGCTCACTGAAAAATGAGTTAATACAAAAAAAAAAATCCCACCCAAACAAACCTAAGAAATTAGAAGAGTATGTTTTATAGGAGATTTGCAGGTGTCTGTTCCAGTAACTCTTCCTCAGTAGCAGACTGTATCTGAAGGGAAGGGAAGATTGCAACACTCGTCCCAATTACAGAGCAAGTACTTCAAGCACAGCTATAAGAACATGGCAAACATCTGTAGCACCAGGGTCGTGTGAGCATCCTTCAAACTGAACGAAAGCATACTCTGCCAGCAGCTCTCCACATTCAAAATTTCAGGAAGTCCTTTGTGTTTTTAAAGAGTGATAGTGGAGTTTAATAAAGCAGAAGCTGAAGGGTACTCTCTCTAAACACCTGGGTTAATCTTCATTTTGGACTTTTCTGAAGGGCAGGTGCAGCCCATCTACAGGGAAACTGAAGTGACTTCCTTTGCACCTCAGGTGAACAGCATTATTGCTCAGTGCACTTCTATCTGTGGTGAGGTGCTGCTGTTAGGTCAGCCCCAGATTGGGAAAGGAAAAAAAAAAAAAGCAGTGCTGCAAATCGGGTGAAAGAAGGTGCATCTTTAAATTTATTAGGCAGTACGAAGGCAGGCAGGGAAGAGAACTCATAATGTTCACTTCAAAAATCCATTTGAGAATTTGATGTGAAAGAACTGCTCCCACTGGGAAGGTGACTTTCTCAACTCCTCTAGAGGCTGTAATACCTATATTTTATTTAGCACTTCCTCAGTGATAGGTAGTCATTTTGAAGGTGCTACAAAATCTGCAGTGTGCAAGATGACTGTCTGCCTTTCAGTGAAATGGAGGAGTGTTTCCAAAGGCAACATCAAACATTAGGTGTTTGGTACCCACAATCCCTGTGACACTGCAACACGAAATTTTATACATAACCATCAATCAACAAACAGTGTCTTACCTAACTTCAGTAATGAGCATTAAATTTGATTCCTCTCTTACACTGGCATCTATGCATTTTCCAACAAGACAGAAAAAGACCAATCCCAGTTTGAAGTGACAGAAGTAGAAAAGATACCTGAGCCCAAATTGCCCAAATCCAGGACAATACACTAATGGATAATTTGGGGACAAAGTGCTGAAGATCATTAGCATTTCAACTCCTTAGGAACACATGTAACATGACTAAATGAGTTCAAGCTCTTGCTGTTTTATATTTCAAACAACAATGCTATTTTTGTCAATTTTCTGAGTAATTGTGTAGAATTCAAAGAAGCAGGTTTGACGTTACATTACAGTGAAGAAATGAAAATCACGAACCTGCCTCAGCATCAGAAATTCACTTACACATGCAGCACAAGTTGTGGAAAGGGGACTTCCACATAGACATGAGCAAATTGCAGTAAACCAGCAAAACCACAAGGATTTAAGGAACTTACATAATTCTGATTCCCAGGTATTTTCACTAAAATGTGTCTCAGACTATAGCTTGCATTCTGGGAACAAACCCACATTCAAAATCACCTTCAGTTTGTATTTTGCTGCTTTATCCCTCAAAGAACAAGTAAAAGTATATAGAAAAATACTTCTGCAACCAAACCATGCATTTTGTTTCCATCAAGGCTGAAGGACTGAGAACAAGAATTCTCTCTAGTGGAACACTAGCACATGAGCAAAAGCTACAGAACCCTCAAAGACTGGTGTTTGAACCAGTTCTAGTCTTTCAACTCATCAATAGGATGAGGGGTAATGTCTTCAAACTAGAAGAGGGTGGATTTACATTAGATATTAGGAAGAAATTCTTTCCTGTGAGGGTGGTGAGGCACTGGAACAGGTTGCCCAGAGAAGCTGTGGATGCCCCATCCCTGGAGGTGTTCAAGACCAGGCTGGATGGGGCTTTGAGCAACCTGGTCTGGTGGGAGGTGTCCCTGCCCATGGCAGGGGGGTTGGAACTAGATGATCTTTGAGGTCCCTTCCAACCCAAACTATTCTATGATTCTTTTGAAAGAAGTGTTGGGTCTACTTCCAAGATGGGTACCAAAAATTACACTTCCACCTGAAGGGTGAGCTGGAGATGCAAAGCCTGGGATGTGAATGAGACCTGCCCAGCTCGAGCAGGTAAGTATCAATGGAATGACCCCTGGGTGGTGATAACTTGCATCACGTCTACTGGCTGACCAGCAGGCATAGCAGCAGTCCCACTCCTGTGTGACAGGCAGTCCTCTCAGAGAAAGCACATATCTAGATAAAGAAAAGGAACGATAAGACCCCCCTCCATTGGTGGCTTTTTTTTTTTTTTAAGCTGGGAAACTTTGAGCTGTGTGAAAAATTCATTTTCTAGAAGATATTTTTAAAAACTTCATTCTTCAGCTGCAAACTGACATTTTGCAGTGAAATATATTTTGGTACTGTCTAGAAATTAATTTTTTCACATTTCTCCCCAGAGGCAATGCCATCCGTGAAAATTATAACTGTACCAGTGACATTAAAAGTGTTAAACAACTGACTTTTTCATAACTAAATGCTAAGTTTAAAAGGAAGAAACTCTTCTCAACAGGCAACTTTCTGTCACGGTTAAAAAGAAACAAGTCCCAGCTATCCAGAAGCCTTAGAGTTAGCTTAACTTGCTTTTCAATTTTTGCTACCCCTGTCTTGCTCTGTAATTCAAGAGAATGTAAATCTGGTTTTGTTATTCAGGCCATTTGTGTCTCGTCCAGTCTTCAAAGGCACAATTAGTGTTCTCAGGACTGCACAGTTGCATATCATCCACCAGAACTGATCCAGTGCCCGCAGCAAAACAGCAAGACAGAAGTGCAAAAATTCTTGCAGCTTTCTCTGCAAGTCTGGACAGGGGATGGCTTTCAACAACAACAACAAAAAAAAGCAAACATAAACCTGGATGTGCTGGATTGCTTCTTGCTTTCCTCCTGCTGCCACACACACACTCCCTTTTCTGCTCAAGCGGCCAAGAGAAGTGGAGAAGAGCTGTTGAGGTAGCTGTGCCTGCAGCAGTCCCATCCAAAATGACCCAGAGAAGGCAGAACTGCTAACACTTGCACTTGTGCAAGTTCTTCAAAACAGAAGACTTGGGGCAGCCTGGATTTTTTTCTATTTTATTTCTGTTTTGCAGACACACATGGTGGAAACGTAACAAGGGCGCATGACAGATACCCAAAGACTGGGGCTTATTCCAAGCTTTGTTTCTAAACCTTTGCATACTTTGTGTCTCTTGTGGTTCCGACCCATATTACACACCAAAATGTAGCATTTCAGGCTCCTTTGTTTACAAGTTTAAATCATATTACAAAGAGTGATATATGAGTGTAAGAGAACCCCCTAACTGAACTGCTTCAGAAGAAAAATCAGGTGCCAAAAGAGTATGAAAGAGCACAGGCGCTTGTCACACTAGATTGCAGAGGTGATTTTAAGAGCAAAAGTAGACATATTTGATGCATATTCTGTCTATTCAAACTGAGGTTGTGCATAATTTGATGCATATAATGCCTTTTCATGCAGAGCATGTGTAAACAACCATCTTTCTCCTATACTGTAACCTTAAAGTAAAAAAAAAAAAATCTTAACAGAAATATCATTCCAGTTCCCTAATGCATTTTAATATTTTAAATCAACAGTTTTGACTTGAGAGCTCTGTGGACACATTTATCATTCAGCTGCACAACCATACTATAAACTGTCAACTCTTCATCACTGTCCACTTTGACAAATTACTCTCACAACAGCATTTCCAAGTTATCCTTAGCAGCCAACACACCTCATAAATCCACATCATTGTAGTGTTATTAGAATTTCATTTCATGCTTGCATTTGCAAACATTTAAGCTTTCAACCTCTGCTGCCGGGCATTAATCATGGAATTAATCATAGGATTAAGAATGCCAAATTTAAACTCAAGGTTAATAACATGCTCACCCAATATGAGTTTTACATTCAGTCATGGGAAAGCACTTAAAAAAAAAAAAAAAGGTACAAGACCTTTGTCTGAAGTTAACAAATATACACATAAACTAATTGTACTGTAATGTACTGTAATGAGTAGTTGCCCAAATTCAATATTGTTGCTTAAAGAAAAATTTCAAATTCCTTGATCCTTGAAAAAACGACCATTTGGCCCCTGTAAATCTGCTTGCCTTTTGGCTTGAGGATGGGCTGAAAGATCAATTATCAGAAAGCTAACAGCAACAACTGATTTTTCAAAACTGATGATCACAGAAGATTGTTATAGAAAATGCTGTGATTTAACAGAATTACAGAATAATAAATATTATTTAACAATATTAGATTCTCACATTACATTGACATGTATCTTCATTTTTAAGATATATATCTGCATTAAAACATGAAGCACCTTCTGGTTGACAGAATACTATACACATGTGCAAATGTAACCCCATTGATGCCAAAACATACCCTTTTAGTAGAAACTTAGATCAGCTTAAGATGATTATGAAACCATGTCTCTAGTTTCTATGATAAATAACAAGATATATAATAGAGTCATCCTGTATCTTTTCCTTCCCCAGCTTTATAGCCTATAAATAAATCAACACTTGGTACTAGCAATGGAATGAGTCAAATTTGTGATTCAACCCAGCCTCCTTTATTTGTTCAGATATGTGTTTTGGATATGCATTTAACTATTATTATTGCTGCTTCAAGCAATGCCCCCAAAAGTTCAATGACAGTCAACTGAGCAAATTAACAGAAACTGCTTTCATTACATCTAAGCTACTTATATAACAGATTTATGGTTTTAATCTCAGATACGTAATTTAAAAACCAAGCCCCATCCCCTGAATCCTGCAGGAACTACAAAATTAATCTTAGTTTGCAATTCTGCAGCCACATTGGCTCTTGCAGTTCTATCCAAGCAGTAAGCCACTAGATATCAATACCACTTCCAAGATCAGTTGCTCTAAGTTATCAAACCTTTACTAATAAGAAAGAAGAGTTCAAATGATCAAATACACCTGGCACACACACTACAAGCCAGTAACAGAGCTCATAATAACTGACTGACAAAATTCATTCTTGGAAAAGAGGTGTTACTCAAGAGACAGGAAGGCCATACAAAAGCCACCAGGGCACCTTACTCATCCGTGCACAAAACTGGGCCTTTGGTTCTGATAGGTACCATAAGCTTCAGACAATATTATCTGCAACTTCACTCAAAAATAAGACTTTCAGGTTGGGTTTTTATTTTCCTGTTATCTACAATTTCACTCAAAAATAGGACTTTCAGGTTGGGTTTTTATTTTCCTGTTAACAGACTCTGCAATTCATGAACAGTCTCCAAGCAGGAAGCAGCCATGCTGCTTGGGAGGATGTACTATCTAGTTCCACTTCCCAAATTTTACATTCCTAAAATACCTCCCTATTACTACACCTCAGGAGCTACATGGAAAGCAACAGAAAAAAGTGTTCAGAGGCAACAATCTACAACTGAGAGTGACACTTCAATTTAACAGGATACCTAGCGTGGACTCCCTGGAGATCTGCTGCTTACGTCACTTCAGTTATAAACAGAATTCTCCAGGCCAGAAACCCCTGGAAGACTTACAAATAATAGCAAGACGTTTCATAATGATTTTGTTTTAATCACTTTTTCTTATTTATAGATTTTTTTTTCTGAAGTAAATCATGAATTTTTCTGAGAAAAGTTTACAAAGAGTTACCAAAAATATGTAAGTGCTATGATGTTCCCCTTCTGCAGAGTAAAAGATTACTGACCTCACTGAGGTAAATAAAAAAGGAGCACGTGGACCCATCTACACCGTAACTTGCGTAACAGGGATCCGATCGCCACATATCTTTCATCCACTGTAACAGAACAAAACAACAGCCTGTTAGGTTTAAGTACCATGCAATATCTCTATACTATTTCACACTGAACTCAGGAATAACAAGGGAAAACTGCAAGTGACTGAATCCAACCAGATAAAAATCACAAATAACAAAAAGGGGAATTTTATTAATATTTTAACATTAATTTAATAATTAATAATATAATTTTATTAATATACTGCATCTCTGCATTCAGCTACGTTGGGGAAGTAACCGCATAGCAGCCGTGAGCACAGTTTATACAAACTGCCAGGCAAGCAGAGACAAATATCAAAAGGAGAATATAATCAGGATGCAGACATTCGGGTGTGGTTAGAGCTCAATGCACTGCCCCCCCCACCCTGGGTTACACTTGTGTAGTTTATACAAACTGGTGGCCAGGCAAGCAGAGACAAATATCAAAAGGAGAATATAATCAGGATGCAGACATTCGGGTGTGGTTAGAGCTCAATGCACTGCCCCCCCCACCCTGGGTTACACTTGTGCTGGAATTTAACAGATCATTTCAGCTACCAAGATTGAAATCTGCTCGATTCTGCCAAGAATCTGCCATTTCTGCAGAAGTAATTAATTTAAATTCATATTTTAATATTCAAAGAATATATTGCATATTCACTATGCAGCCAGTTTGTCAAAATGGATCAAATCACAGACATGAGATTTAAATTTTACAGATTTTTTTTTAAAAATACTGTTGTCTAAGAATTTTATTTATAGAAAAAAGACAACATAACTTAACAAATACTTTGGTAGTTACTTGTTTTCACTTTCATAAGGAAATTGCAACACTTGATAATGACACCGAAGTGTCCAGCAATTTTACTTTTGTCCTCCACTACTAAAACAATATCCTCACATTTGAAATGTAACTTGGGGGGAAAAAACCCCAGTAATCTCCCATTTCTTCAAATTTGTTGGGGTTTTTCTTTGATTTGCAGGACTTTCCAACCAAAGTCTGATGGCTTTCAATATTTGGCCTTTCCAACTGCATTATTTGTAAAATACAGGAGTGATATATGAAAATATCAGTTGTGAGCCCCACAGGTCTGGTTACACACTTAGGGCAGTGCCCGGCTCGTGAGCAGAAGAGACAGAAAAAGCTTTTAAGAGAAAAGGGGAAGGAAGGAACTGGACAAAGTTGCTGGTGAAGAGGGGAAAGAAGTAGAAACAAATGTCTTGCTGAAACAGAGAAAGGGCTGAAGTGAGGTACACCCAGAATCCCAGTCCTGGGGTAGGGGAATGCAAAATGATTCATAATGGGGAAGAAAACAGGGCTTTTCAAAAAGGAGAAGAAAGTTTTTTAAAAACAAGACAACATTAAAGTAATAAGGCATTTTATTAAATAACATGGCATTTAATATAATATGGCATTGTATTCCTGTCTGAATAGGAGGCTGCTTTATTTCTTTTCAGCTCAGCATTAAAGGCAATACTATACTGACAGATACTCCTAAATATCCCCGTTTTGACCCAGTTATTCTTGTTTTACGCCATTGTCTGAGAAGTGACCTTTTGCAACACACGTTCACGTTTAACAGAACACACAGAATAAGATTAAACCCAATTCATTTTACCTTTATTTTCCCTTCACAGTGAGGAAAACCATCCATAGGAGGCAATTCACACTGTTCTTGGGCTCCATTTATGAGATCTAAAGAGAAACACAGAGCATAAGTGAATTTCATTTTACAGTTCTGACAGATAGCCTAATGAATCCTTCCTTTTATTTTCATGAATCCACAATCCAGACTGACTGAAGAGCCCTACTGTGTAATATTTGTTATAACATTAAAACTCAGTGTGCTCTTTTTTGACTATAGAAGAAAATGGCTGCATAGATTTCAACTCTGACTTGCAGTAAAAGCGCTGAATTACAAAAGCTGGTCCACGAAGACTTAAAAGTTAACCTAATCCATACTGAGAATAATAAAAAGCAAAATATCTTCCTAACTGAAGTGTGCTTAAAACTACTAAATTGCAAGAATTTGTTTCCGATTGTCAAACATTTGTAAGATGCATATTGCTCTTAACCATAAAAACTAGTTTTTCGAGTTCTCTTATCACTTTGTGAAATACTCATGATTTGCAAGTTGGCATCAGATACATGACCCAATTAATAAATCTTGCAATATGATCTAAACTTAGGACTGAGTGCCACTACACCACATCTCAGGAGAAAAATTTCCTATGGTCTCCCAAGAATTTATTTTTCTTTTTGCCTATTTTTAAATTTTATCATTCTAGATGTTTACAACACAGTAAAGAGTGGGACGCTGAGCAACACTTCTAGCCCATGAGCCAAGAAAAAAAGAAGCAGTTTTGAAGGGCATTACCACATCAACTCCAGGATGGGAATTTCTTCTAAGATCTTAGAAGAACCCCCTATTGCAGGCCTTTAAGGCAAGAAAAATTATTAACACGGTGGAGAGATCCTTGCCAAAGGCAGTAGAGGATAAGGTTTTCAATTTAGGTAGTTCATCCCAGAGTTATCTAAATTATACCTGCATCATTTCTGGCTTTTCCCACGGGCAAGAATCAAGATCATTAAAGCCAGTCATCCATCAACCTAGGAACACTTCAAGCTATGGCAGTTACAGTGCACAACTTCTCTCAGAATATGTTAATTAGAGATCTCAAAAAAAAAGAAAAAAAATAGGCTGCAGCATTAGAATAGAGTAGGGACAAGTATTCAAGATCAGCGGATAAAAGTTAGAATGTTGTATTATATACAAAAAAGCACCTACTGATTTATAAGAATATTTTACATGTTTTTGCAAATAGTTTCTTTTAAAGACAAAACGGGAAATGTGAGTGAAGTGTTGCAAAATGCAGCTGATGGAGAAAGAAGAGTTATGCCAGAAGAAGACACTTATTTGGCAGTCTCTGCAGCAGCAGTAATTTGACAAACTGAGCTGTACTGCCAGTGACAATAACACTGAAGCAAAGTAGTTTTTAAGATGACTTTGTAATTTCAAATCAATACACCCTTTCAAATATTCTCCCTTATCTTCATATCCTTATAGGATTCTTGCAGACTAGACCAGTGACATCTACAGCTCTGATTTCTGCTCCAAGTAAGAACATACAGAGTAGGCATAGAGACATCAACAATTTAAAAGTATGTTCTAAATTCAGTCAGTACAGCTAGATAACAACGGGACCTCTTGCTTTATTGCAGTTCAGGAATCAGACCTTCCACTTGAATCACACAGAAATCAGTGCTTGAGATCAAACAGTAGCAAACTTACCTTAAATCAAAAAGAGGCATGGTTAAAATGATGGCAATTTTCAGTAATCAATATAATGCCACTAGAAGAGCTGTGTCGGTCTAGACTATAGGCTTTTTTGATATATATATATTTTTTTTTACAAACTCATAAGCCTGAATACAAAATAAGTACAGAGCTTTCCATAAGGCATGTCAAATTCAGATCTTCCCAAAACATAAAAGACATCTAAAATCTAGGTTATAACATCAGAGATGCAGTTCAACCGCAGGGAAAGTTCGACTTTCAACATCCTACAGAACTTAGGGTTGAAAATCCTGAACGTCTGGGCAATTCCATTCAAACAAACACGTCTTCCTATCAATTTCAGCTTCATTTGGACATTACACTTGCCATGCTCAAAGGTTTTTTTGCTTCCCTCCTATAGCTATTATTCATGGAACCAACTAACTGTAGTTAGCAATTTTCAGAGACATAAAAGACAATTATTAAACACTTAAAGAGTAGGTATTTTTAATGGTATTCTACATCCATTTCCACATACCTTTTCCACTTCAACAGTGCTCATTTAAGGGGTATCCTCCTCAGCTACTACCCACCCCTCACCATGCCAGCGCTACCTTTCACTTGACTTTTTACTGGATCACTGATATGTTAAAAATAGTTCTTGCCCAAAAATATTACTTTAAACCAGAAACAATTTTTGGATTGGCGCTGCAGAGGAAGCAGAGCAGAGGTGGGAATGACAATGACAGTTCCCAAGGGGTTGCAGCTGCAGGAGGTGCCGATGGCAAAGCCCAGTAAGGCCACTTAAGGAACCATAAATACAGTCTTTGCATCACTCGCTCTGGGCCAAATGATCCTCCTCTGCAAGGTAGTCATTCCTCCTTAGACTTAATGTTACTCCACTAGCTCCTTATTTGTCAAAAGTAGAAAAGTACTCAAAAGCTGCTCTGTTGCCCTTTCTGTTGGTTGGAAGTATAGCTTGCCAACATGAAGGATCCATGAACTTTGTCTTCTACCTCAAGCTGACTATGCTATCATATGACTGCCTTCCAGGTCAGAGGGTTAGTCAAGTGAACACTCTCCTCTTCTGAAGTCCCTTTAAGTTCAGGGTAATACATAAACACAAGTTATAATTCCTTATTTTACAGCATAAGCATCTAGTGTGCCAAGTTTCTCACTTATATCATATTGCATTTTAATGGATATCTCGTGGTCTGTCAAAGAAAGGAAGGATAGAGAAAAAAAACAGATAATACAGAGAATGGCCAGATTTTCTGTAGATACACCACAGTAGTTTAGATACCTACTTGCTTTTGGCATGTGTAAACACATTTTCTGCATGCAACTGTGTTTGTCTAGATGGATACTGATCTTTGCTACTGTTCATTCGTTCAAAAGGTTTTACAGGATCCCTGTATTTGCAAGATCTACTTGCAAGAATAAAAACTGCCTTCTTACAACAGTCACATATTGCACCCACCCCACACTTTAACAGCTCAGCTCAGCTGTGGCAATACTACATCCAGATACTTCCCAAGCAGAAAGCCAACTTTCCCAGCTCTCCCTGTTCCTGCCCATTCCAAGAAGTAAAAAGCAAGAGCCAGACATTTTTGTCAGCATCAGCTGTGGATTTTCTCAGGCTTCTGGTCTCCCCTGGGGCCAGCTGCACTAGGGTTTTTCCAGAGCAGTCCCACTCTTGTTCTTCCACTGAGATGATTTACATACAAAGAACATACTGAACTCCCCAGGATGATCTGTATGTATAGAGAACACAGAACACTAATGCCCACCTTTATCATCTCTTACCATGTTAAAATGCCTGAAGAAGTATTAATGCCTCTAGTAGCATTTTCAAGAGTACCTGACATCTTTCCCTCTCCTTGCCAGTAACAGTAAATGCTCTTAGTTTCCACCTTCCTCAAAAATAACACCTTTTTTCCACCCTTACAGACTGAAGATGCTTCACATGCCCACCAGCTTCCCACTCCAGCTTCCCACTCAGCCTTACCATGGATCTATCCCAAACACTACACCAACTTTCACTTGCTTCATTCACAGCTACTGATCAGTTAATAGCATAGTGAAGGCAGTTCTATAAAGCTTAAATATAAACCAGCCCATGAAAAAATTTACATAAAGCATTATCCAGAGCAGAACAAAATGTAGCAATATATGCATACAAGATGGATCAAATGTGAAAGAACAGGAGAAGCAATAAAGAAAAGCAACTCTGTTCCATCTGAGTGCTCCCTAGACAAGCCACCTTTCCTTCATGCCTGCAAACGGGAACTGGCTGATGTAATCAGACTAGAAACACATTGACATCAAGAAGAGTTGTCCAAAGCAACACATCACCTGCAGAAATCGGGAAGATTTGAACAGACTTCTTTCCACTCATAAGCCTGAGAATTGATGCTAAAGTCTGAATTCACTTGGGAGTAATTTTGATGGTTCCCATCAATTACTGCTTGCGCTGAAGCCGTACCCTTTCTTCTTGTCCACAGTCAGTATGAGCTCTAGGTTGAGAAACATCCCTCTGAACTTTTTTCTTCCTTAATAATCACAGCTTGTATGAAAAAATACACTTTGTCTCTTCTAACTAGGCTGAAGGGTGTGCTGGAGCCTGTTGGTAACAGCTAAGTACCCTGTGGGCAACAAAAAGGCTCCTTTCCCTACCCTTACTAAACTGGCTGTTCTGAACTATTGTTACAAACATAGGAAACATCCTTCTAAAATATCTAAAATCAAGGAAGCTGTGACCAGCCTCTTTAAATCAAATTTATAGCTACAAATTAACAGTCCAGCTTGCCCTCAAACCACACTGCACAGCTGGACCAGCAGAAGCAGCAGTGGTTGGCCAATGTTCCCTGGTGTGTCTCTAGCTCGGTGTGGGCCCACTACTGCCAAAACAGCTTACCCCCTTTTCCCTTCCCAGGTTTCCATCAGCCCCACTTGCTAGGAGCTGGCTCTTCTTAAACAGGAATCCAGAGGTGACCAAATCTCACACATCCCATGGACAGTTGGGACCAACCTCAAGCAGATACCAGCAATTTATACTTTTGAATGGATCACAAAGACAGGGGAGATGAAGCGAGTGGAAGCCTGGGGATGCTGACCTACACAGCACGAAAAGCAAGCACTAAGGTATAAGTGAAGAGTTTAGAGTTTTTTATCATTTGGAGATGACAAAAAACCCCAAACCCTAATATCTTATGAAGATTCTTGTTAAGAAGGTCTACATAGATGTATTACACTGTTACCAAATTAATGTTGGATGTTTTCCTGAAGGGGAAAAATATATTATTAAGGCAGACACTAAAGTTACTTTTGATGGAAAACAGTATTTGAGAAACCACAAGGTTCTTTATCCTTAATTAGGATTTATGTAATTTAAAATTCAAGTTCTGAGATCTCTTTT